AAATAGTAAATTTATATTTATTTATTTATTTTTGGCTGCGTTGGGTCTTCGTTGCAGCGCGTGGGCTTTCTCTATTTGCGGTGGCTTCTCATTGCGGAGCACAGGCTCTAGGCACTTGGGCTTCAGTAGTTGTGGCACACAGGCTCAGTAGTTGTGACTCGCGGGCTCTAGAGCTCAGGCTCAGTAGTTGTGGCGCATGGGCTTAGTTGCTCCACAGCATGTGGGATCTTCCTGGATCAGGGCTTGAACCCGTGTCCCTTGCACTGGCAGGCGGATTCCCAACCACTGTGCCACCAGGGAAGCCCTCTTACTTTAAATAAACTCTTATTAGTCTTTTCTTTTAGTTCTCTGCCATTTTATTCATAGAACGCTCTTTACCTTCACCTGTATGCTTATAGATCTTTGCCTAAATTTTATTCTAGTTTCTCGTGGGTTTTTTAACCTTTAATTCTTTATGCAATATGGAATTTATTTTAGTGTATAGTGAGGGTAGGAATGCATCCCCCCTCCCCCCCCCCCGCCGCAAATAGCCAGTTGTCTTAGCGCTGTTTTTTATATAACCCACCTTTGGTTATAATGGCTTAGCTTAGAAATAAGAGAGCTATGGAGCAGTATAAATATATGTGCCATTGTGTGCTTCCCTCTGAAGAAGCAGCGTGCACAGTTGAATCCATGGGATGGTGACTTGGATGGGAGATGAAGAAACTGTCACGATTGAGGCGTGCCAGAGGAGTAGTGTGAGGTGTGAGCCAGGGAGATGGAAGATTTGCAGAGTCCTATGCCTGTCACACAATATTTGAAACGTTATCTTGTGGATGCGATAGTAAATGTATTTTGTGTTTATTTTAGAGGGAAGAAGTTGGCTCAGTGGGTAGAAGTTACAAGGAGGAAGATATCACCTCAGCAAAAGGAATAACTTTCTAACTAAATACTGGAACAGTCTAACAAGGAACTGACTATCTTGCAGAGTAGTGAGTTATAGGAAGTGTATCTGCAGACCTTGAGCAGTCATTTATTAGGGAAGTTCCTGATTCCTTATATCTCGGGTGGGAGATTGCATTGATTACTGAGCGGTTCCTATGTGTCTGTCAGCCCTGTGCTTAGTGCCCCATCTACACTCGCCCATGTTGGTAAAAGCCTGGTGAGGGAGGTCTGCTAACCACTGAGACCCCAGGAGGTTTGGGGACTTCGCCCATGCTGCGGTGATGGCTGGTGGTGGAGCCAGGCTCCGTCCTGTCCACAGCACCTCATCTCATTTCTAAGTGCCCCCCAAAAGCATTTGGATTCTCATTTTCTTTTAAGAGTAAGTTTAAAAGAAAACTGCCTTAAGCGACTCTTTTTTGGTGTGTGTGTGTGTGTATACGCATGCATCCAGATAACATTTGTATTCATTACTCTTGTGTATATGGTTAGAGCCATTGCAAGAGTGTGTGAGCACGCAGTACCCTGGGGCCAGTTTTGTTACATATTCCTTAAGGAATTAAAATTGGGTTTCTCTAAATGTATTTACTTAATTGAGGCATTCCCTCAATTAAAGTGGTAAGTCTTTCTCATTTTGTTTTCTTTTTTACCTACCTAAGTCCTGCCTTTTGTGGTTTTCCTACTTTTGTATAAACACTGTCCGCCTTTCTCTTTTACGTCAACAAAAGTGCCCTCTCTTCCCGTTTCAGCCACTGCTGTAACCTGTAGAGGTGTGACACTGACCATCTTTATAGCTGGACAGAATTTAACCTGCAGAGCTATGACTGACTGCCCATTCATGCCCCAAGAGCCTTGGTTTTCCGGAGGTGATTTGAGCAGTGAAGTCGCTGCCATTTATTACTAGGTCTACAGACTCTCCTCTGCGTCCCTTTGGGTTTAACATTGCTGGGAAAGACTGAGAAGTTGCTGGCGAGGTGTTTGGCTTTCTGAGCAGAGGCATCAAACCTTGGGCCAGCAGAGGGCTGGGAAGTAAGTGCCGTGGGTCTTGATGGATGGCTCCATGGCGTGGTCACTGATGCCCTCCTCCCTCTCCTGACTGCTGCCGCGGCCCCCTCACCCCGGCTCTTGCCTTCAGAATGCAGGTGTGCTGTGGCCTCACTCCTGTGCGTCTCTAGTCTTATCACCGTGAGTGTGCCTGCAGCGTGGTGCAGCTGCTCACAGGCAGCAGGAGCGTGTACATCTCTGCCTCGCCCGTTGCCAGCAGTGCCCGGCACTTCGTCTAGAGAAGATGTGCTCATTTACTAAGAACAGCTCTCCTGGGGGTGGCGGTCGGGGGTCGTTTCTCTCGAGTAGCTGGCCTCCCCTCTCCAGTGGAAGTGCTGCTGCCCCCTCACCCCCCATGCTCCCACCGTAAGTCCTGTCACCTGTAAAGTGTCTTTAGCCCTGGGTGGATGTGTTCCTTTACTTATCTTCTCCTTACCTGCATGTCCCTGAGGGTGAGGCCCTTCTCACCCTGTGTAAGCCAGGGCCTCGCTCAGAGTATGTTGTAGTAAAACACTTTTATGGTCTAGGTTGGGGAAGAAGAGAATAAACGTTGCACCGTTAGGAAATAATACATAAATGTGTCGCTGCCAAAAGTGGAGAAGGAGTTCTTCATATTGGGTTTTTTTTCTTTCTCTAGGGACACCAGTTCTGGGAAGTGAACCTTAGGCAGTGCTCAGATCCATACCTTACCCTAGTGGTATTGAGTCTTGTTCATTGGAAGCTGGTTCTAAAATGTTTCCTTCATTCATTCAGCAAACATATTTAGCGTTTACTGTGTGACACGCTGGGAATATAGTGCTGAACAAGACAAATGAGGTCCCTGCTCTACTGGAGTTTGCAGTGCAGTTGGAGAGCTATGAGTTAAATAAGTATGTAACAAATCTAATAATACTACACTGTCAGGTAGAGGAGTCGCCTCTGTTCTTTCGTTGTTTTCTGGGCTCTTTATGTTATGGAGGTGGATTTCTGAATAGTCCTACAGACAGCTTCTAAATTTCCAAAGTTTAGTCTTTGTGTTATGCAAAAAAATCAGTTTTCCAGTATGAAACTGGGGGTACAAGGACAGATGTGACCCTGTTATCAGCTACTTGCAGCCTTCACTCCCAAATCCTGGAATGTGTGGTCTGTATTCACTGCTTCAACACTGCTTCCCCAGAGTTCCCTGGTGGTCTAGTGGTTAGGATTCGGCGCTTTCACTGCCGTAGCCCAGGTTCAACCCCTGGTCAGGGAACTAAGATCCCACAGGCCACGCGGCGTGCCCCCCCCCCCCCCCCGCCCCAAAACAAAGCAAAACAAAAAACCCAACCAACCACTGCTTCCCTTCCCCCAGCATCTATCAGTCCATCCATTCACCAGATGGTCTCTGAGGGCCGGGAACTGTCCTACGTAGTGTGCATTCACTGTGGGTATAAGGTAAAGTCTTGCCTTTTAAATAGAATTCATATTTAAGGGAATATAAGACAATATGTGAAAACAGAGATCTTGGGTAGTCGTAAGTGCTCTGAAGGAAATCACTCTCAGGTGATTTAATGTGACTTCTGTCCCATCACTCTCCTGAACGGGCTTTCCTAATGATCACTGTTTGTGGCCTTAAAAAAATTATGAGGTTTAAAAACAGACATGAAACTAGAGAGGATAGTAAAAAGAACTATTGCCTCGTATTAGCCATCATCACCGTTTTGCTGACATTGTTTTATGTGCTCCTTTCCCCTTTCCTTTACCTTCTCACTGTAGTATTTTAAAACCAGTCCCAGACACCATATGATTTCGTGCTGGTGACCTCTTGGCTAGTCTGACCCAGTAGGCATGCTCAGCCCTCACCCTCCTGGAGTCTTTCTTTTTTTTTAATGTGTTTTTAAAAATTAATTAATTAATCTATGGCTGCCTTGGGTCTTCGTTGCTGCGCACGGGCTTTCTCTAGTTGCAGCGAGCGGGGACTACTCTTCGTTGTGGTGTGGGGGCTTCTCATTGCGGTGGCTTCTCTTGTTGTGGAGCACGGGCTCTAGGTGCGTGGGCTTCAGTAGTTGTGGCACGCGGGCTCAGTAGTTGTGGTGCACAGGCTTAGTTGCTCTGTGGCATGTGGGATCTTCCCAGACCAGGGCTCAAACCTGTGTCGCCTGTATTGGCAGGCGGATTCTTAACCACTGCGCCACCAGGGAAGCCCCCTCCTGGAGTCTTTACAGCACTGGTCATCCTGCTGTGTCACTCTTGTGTCACCAGGCTTCAGTCAGGTGTGGTTCTCTTGCTGCTCTGATTGTTCCCGTGCTCCTTTGCTGGTTTCTCCTTCTCCAGCTGTGACTCCTTCTCAAGGCTTTGTCTGGTAAATATGTGACCGAGAATTTACTGTCCCTTTTGCATTTCATTAAGGAAAAAAAGCTTGCAAACATTCACAGAAGATTGTGTTTACAGAGGCTATGTGTTTTATTTATTTTAAAATTTTATTTATTTCATTTTTGGCTGCACTGGGTCTTTGTTGCTGCATGTGGGCTTTTCTCTAGTTGCGGCGAGCGGGGTCTACTCTTTGTCGTGGTGCGCGGGCTTCTCATTGCGGTGGCTTCTCGTTGCGGAGCACGGGCTCTAGGCGCATGGGCTTCAGTAGCTGTGGCACATGGGCTAAGTTGTTTGGCGGCATGTGGGATCTTCCCGGACCAGGGCTCGAACCCATGTCCCCTGAATTAGCAGGCGGATTCCTAACCACTGTGCCACCAGGGAAGCCCTGCTGTGTGTTTTAGAAATGCCATTTGGATGTTTTGCTGCTTTTCATCTTTGGCATTAATTTCAGTTACTGTCATTTCTTCCGTAAAAAAAAAAAAATATCAGACATAAGCCAGAAAAGTAATTAATTTGGTCTGCAAAGGACAAACAGAAACAGTACAGAATGTAGTATTTCCAGGTAATAAATCACAATACACATGTTTATCATTCACCTATAAAAATGTTAATTCAGAAGTCTTCACACATGTATTTCATTAAAGGTGTAACATAAATTAAGCCTCTAATGAGATTTCTATCTTTTTTTTCTTTTTCCATCCTAGAATGTATGACAGCATGTCCACAATGGTGTACATAAAGGAAGACAAGTTGGAGAAGCTTACACAGGATGAAATTATTTCTAAGACAAAGCAAGTAATTCAGGGCCTGGAGGCTCTGAAGAATGAGCACAATTCCATTTTACAAAGTTTACTGGAGACACTGAAGTGTTTGAAGAAAGATGACGAAAGTAATCTGGTGGAAGAGAAATCAAACATGATCCGAAAGTCACTGGAAATGTTGGAGCTTGGCCTGAGCGAGGCACAGGTACAAGTCTCAGATATGAACGTGAAGTTGACGGTCTGGAAAAGGGGAGACTTTGTTTGACATACGAGGTTTAACTAAACTAGAGGGCAGATACTTATAGAATAATAGAAATCAGCTTATATGTGGGTTATGTATGTTATACAAATGATGATTTGGGCATGTCTACATTTTAAAAAGTAGAGCAAAAACAGAGGTAACTCTGTGTCAGTTAGGATTTGATTTGGCTGCATATATCAAAAAACAAAAACAGTGGCTTAAATATCATAGTCATATGTAAAAGCACATACTCAGGTGGGCTGTCCCAGATGGATACTATAGCTGTATGGGTGTCAGGGGTACCCAGGACCCTGCCACCTGCTGCACTACACCCCAGTCAGCCTATCTCGTGGGCTAAGACAGAGTCCCAGCTGCAGCCACGTGACCCCACCCTAGGACTGCGAAGGGTCAGGAAGGGTGTGCCTCCTCCCTTTACCTCCTTGAAGTGTGCGTGGCACTCTGCTTACACCTCATTGGCCAGAACTTGGTTCCGTGGGCACACCTAGTTGTGAGGGACACTGGGGAATGTTGTCTTGCCCCTTAGAGTTCCAGATTCTTAAGCCTGAGGAAGAAGGGTGAATGTTGGCCAACAGCTCATAGTCTCTGCAGTACCCCAAGACAAGATTGTCTTATGCACTTGACTAAACCTTTGTTTCTAATCTGCTAGACGTAGAGATGAAAAAATTGGAAACATTTAGGTGTGCCCCCGCCCCCCCCATAACTTTCAGCTTTGCCAACATATTTTAGGTAAAATTAAATACACTAAAAATGGGCTTCTTCTTTCTTAGCTTTCGTCTTGTATAGCGAATGAATGAGGCAGAAGTGGGGCTGCTGGGTTACCAGTTCCTGCTTTCACAGAGGAAATCATTCTGTACCAAAGTGACGGCCATACTCTGATTTTAGAAGTCTTCATCCTAAGCATGTTACAGATTCTAATTGTAGGACTTTGGTTATTGTGAATCTCTTATTTTGCAAGTTGTGTTGAAAAGCGATATAGAGGTGAACCTCCTTTTTTAGTTTGGCAGATATTGGGGTTAAAAGAAGGAGGAGGAAAGAGCCCCACCTTCTAGAGTGTCAGGTTTTAGACCTAGGAGGATAATAAAGAGGGAGGGGCAGGTGCACGGTCTGCAGAGAGAACAGACCGAAGCCGGCTTTCCTCCCCAACTCTTCCAGCCCTTATCCTCCCAGGCAGGCCGGTCCCTGAGACCCATCAGTGCACCCCAGGCAGAGCGAGCCCAGTAGGGACCTCCGCTTATGAGTGCGTCAGGGCGTCCTGACTCTTGGTGCTGGCCACACCACAGAGCCTTCGTCCCTTCCCCTGCAGTGGCGAAGAAGTCTTGTCTGTGCGCCCCGCCCCAGCTCCACCACCAGCCCCTCACAGAGTGACCTGCACTCTGAACACGTGTGCAGGTGTGTGCACGTGCTCTCACCCGTGGCAAAGGGTCTCTGAGAAATTCTGTTGGCGCCATCTAGATAAAAAGTAAAAAAACACAGCTTCATCAGTACAGTAGCTGCCTGTCCATTGCTAGTCCATTCGAGATACTTTCTAAACAGAAAAAAGAAATGCATTTTTCATAGATGTTCTGAGCATGTGATATTCTTGATCATGCCCTGAATGTAGCCTGTGACTAAAGAAAGGGTGGGAATAGAAGTAAATGGCAAAATATACTTGTATGTACTTTGGAGCACGTGTCTGCAGGTGTCAGCTAGAGCTACAACCCCAGGATGCTTGCGGAGACGGGAGGTGGCATTTGTTGGGCTGAGTACTGCAGTGCTGTCAGTGTTTTTGTCTGTCTAGGTTATGATGGCTCTGTCAAATCACCTGAATGCCGTCGAGTCGGAGAAGCAGAAGCTGCGTGCACAGGTTCGTCGTCTGTGCCAGGAGAATCAGTGGCTGCGGGATGAATTGGCCAACACGCAGCAGAAATTGCAGAAGAGTGAGCAGTCTGTGGCTCAACTGGAGGAAGAAAAGAAGCATCTGGAATTCATGAATCAGCTAAAAAAATACGATGATGACATTTCTCCATCAGTAAGTGGTTCTGTATGAATGCAGTATTGACAGTTACCACGTTATCGTCGGTAGATTGTTTCAGTAAAGCCAGCAGTGTTTTCCTGTTCCCTCCAGCGGTTGTGTTTAAACAAGACCAAGGATTAAAGGTCTTGGGACTGAGTCCCTGGGCAAGTCATATAAGTTCTCTCTGGAGTAGTTTCTTCGTATGTGTTTTTTTTGAACGATGGTCAGTTCAAAAAATACTTTGTAAATATAAAATAAATGCAGAGAGGTGCCATTGCCTTCAACGAGGTCTGTTGCAGCTTGAGATCTCCTGAGCATCCTCACCCTTTGCAGTCTGGCTTCCATGCACATCCCGCTGCTGGAATGCTTTTCCTTTAACAGTGCCCTGATCCAGTCGCCTGAATCCAGACTCGGGACTACCTCTGTAGTTTGTGGTGGATCCTCACTTTCTCTTTGCAGCCCTCTGCCCTGCTCCCAGGACACCATTGGTTCTCCTGCGCCCTCGCTCGTGCCTCCTTGGCCTCCTGCGGTTCCTGGATGTTAGGGTTCCCCAAGGATCGTGGTCTTTTCCTTCTTCTGTTGGCTCTCTGGATGTTCATCCCAATCTCAATTACCGTTTTTCGTTTACTGTTTATTTCTGATTCAGTTAAGTTTTTTTTTAAAGTAACCTTCTTTATTTTGGAATAATTTTAGATTCACAGAAAAGTCAGAGGTGGGGCCTCTGGGAGGTAGTGTGGGTTAGATGCGGTCATAAGGATGGGGCCACCATGACGACATTAGTTACACAAAGAGCAAGAGACCCTAGGTCTCTTGATGTGATACTGTAAAGAGAATTCCCGCATGCCCTTCACCCAGGTTCCCCTAGTGTTATTAACATCTTGTATTGCCGCATAACGTGTCTGAGTTAACTTGGGGCGCTGTCTGTCTCCAGAGTACCGTAGGCTGCATGGCTTAAACAATAGACAGTTAATTTCTCCTGATTCTGGAAGCTGCAAGTCTGAGATCAGGGTGACAGCTTGGTCGGTTTCTTGGTGAGGGCCTTCTTCCTGGTGTGTCTTCGTGTGGCCTCCTTGGTGCATTTGTGCAAAGAGAGAGAGAGAGAGAGAGAGACCTAGGGTCTCTTGCTCTTTGTGTAACTAATGTTGTCATGGTGGCCCCATCCTCATGACCACATCTAATCCACACTACCTCACAGAGGTCCCACCTCCAGACACCATCACACTGACCATTAGGGCTTCAACATAGGAATTAGGGGGTGGGGAGGACAGACATTCAGTCCCTAGCAGTACGTTTGTTAAAAGTAAGAAATTAACGTTGCTATTGCTGCGTCACTATTAACGAAACTACAGCCTTTATTTGGATTTCACCAGTCCTTCCATTAGTGTCCCTTTTCTGCTCTAGAATCCAATCCTGGATTTCACATGGTATTTTGAGCTAACATTTTTTTAATGCCTACACAGTTCTAGGCATGTTCGCTACATAATCTGTGTACCATTGAGTTCCACATTTGTGTCTCCAGTCTGAGCCCTCATCCTAAGACTGTAGGAATGGTTTTGTGTATTGTACCAGCAGACCTACACTTGCCCTGTGTCTTAGCTTGGGCTACCATAACCAGATACCATAGACTAGGTGGCTTAAAGAGCAGATCATTTACTTTCTCATAGATCTGGAGGCTGGAAGTCAGATATCAGGGTGCCAGCATGGCTGGTTTCTGGTGAGGCCCCTTTTCCCAGCTTGCAGATAGCTGTTTTCTTACTATGTTTGCACATGGCAGGTTGTGGGTGTGGGGGGAGGGAGAGCTAGCTCTCTGATGTCTCTTCTTGTTATTAGGGTACTAATCCTATCGTGAGGGCCTCACCCTTGTGATTTTATCTAACCTAATTTCCTCCAAATACCATCACACTGGGGGTTAGGGCTTCAACATGATCTTGGGCACAATTAGTCCATAGCACCCTGTTTTATGAGGCATACTGTATTTCTCCCTTGCATCTCTAGGTCAGGAGCAACTGAATGTTTTGATTTAAAAGATATAACTCCGGTAGGTTGCTGTGGGAATAAGAATAGAGAAGTGGATTCACCTGGAAAACTGGATAACATTGAGCAGGGGAAAGCTATTCTCATAGAATCAGAGACATTTAAAACATTTTATTTGGAAAACATGTCTAGCTTGGAGAAGAGATACAATGAGCTAACCCTGCCTCCCCTTTTAGGGGGTTCGCATGATAATTTTTCTGCCCCGTTCCTCCTACCGCTGCTGGTGCATTTCCTTGGCATGAGGAGTTCTCCTGTGAGACCCAGGGCTGGGGTCAGATTCAGGAGATTGAACACAGGCGCAGTGCTTCCTCTGTCCTCTGCAGCCCGGATTCCATTTTTTGCTGATTATCTCAGCAGAGTCCTCGATGACGTTTTTCACTCATTCCAGGATCCAGTTCAGGACCACATGTTGGACATAGTGGTCCCGTCCCTTTAGTCATCTTTCATCTGGAACAGGTCCTTTCACAGAAAGAAGAAAGCCTGTCTTTGATGACATTGGTATTCTTGAAGAATACAGGCCAGTTACTTCATAGATTGTTCCTCAGTTTGGGTTTGTCTGGTGTTTCCTCATGAGTGTGTTTGGATTGTGTGTCCCAGATGGGAATGTTATAAAAGTGACATGTGCCTCTCAGGTCCCTTCCAGAGGCAGATGGTGTCCGTCTGCGCCAGGGCGACGCTGAGTTCTCCCCTGGTCAAGCTGCTGTCTGTTCTCTCCAGCGTGTACTCACTCTTTTTACCTGAGGGCTCATCTGTGGGGGACACGAGTCATAGGCTGTCACACTGCTCTTAGGGGTCCTGCTGCGGTGGAGATGCTGGGTGGGGAGGGGAGTGTCCAGCCTGCCAGTTCTGCGGTGTTCAGAGATTTGCCATTTTAATCATTTGGTTTCCAAATAAAATTTATTTCAAGTAAGGGCTTCCCTGCTCTTTGAACTTCTGTAGGACACGGGTGACGACTAAGGCACAGAGATGCCATCGTGATCTGTTCTGCCACTCCTGCCCGGACAAGTACTTTGAGTTCAGTCTAGCAGGCCTTTTATTACTCTTTACTGAACTGATGGATAGACCACATTGTGGCTAGTCCTATGTTTGATCTGAAAAACAAACCATCTTTTCCATTTTTAGTTTAAATGAAATTTGTATCAAAGATTTCCAGTGCAGGATTTATAGTATTTGTAAGACTAATATTGTCCTGGGTTGGTTTTATAGGAGGACAAAGACACTGATTCCACCAAAGAACCTCTGGATGACCTCTTCCCGAATGACGATGATGACCCTGGTCAAGGAAGTAAGTTGGGAGTGGTGGTTAAATGGCAGCATGCAGACGGAGGTGGCGGGTCCTCTTGGGGTGTACTTGCTGTCATTAGCAGGCGGTGGCGTGCCTGCAGCCTGCCTCACAGCAGCCCTTGCACACTCAGGCTGCCTCGTGGTTCCCCAGAGAATTGTGCGTTGTTTTCTCGCTGGGATAGAGTAACGTGTTGAGCCAGTCCTCGTAAACGGGCATGCACCAGCAGTTCCGACGCGATCTGTGGATTCTCACAGAGTGAAAGGGCAAAGGAGTTTTCCTGGGGCCAAGAGCAGTCTCACCACACTGTTGGGGCGCGTGCGGCATCCCCGACAAGTTGCTGGTGTTGCCTCGCCTGCGCGGGGAACGCTGGACAGGTTTGGTACAGTGGGGACCACGTGCTGACCTGGACCAGAGCCAGAGCAGGGAGCGCTGATCAGCTGGCGTCATCGGGTGATTTTCTCTGTTGCCTGAAGTGAGCCCTTCTCTGTGCAGTGCAGCAGCAGCAGAGCAGTGCAGCGGTGGCCGCCCAGCAGGGTGGCTACGAGATCCCCGCGCGGCTGCGCACCCTGCACAACCTGGTCATCCAGTACGCCTCGCAGGGGCGCTACGAGGTCGCCGTGCCCCTCTGCAAGCAGGCCCTGGAGGACCTGGAGAAGACCTCTGGCCATGACCACCCGGACGTGGCCACCATGCTGAACATCTTGGCCTTGGTGTACAGGCTAGTAGTCCTCATTTTATTCTCTTAATTTGACCTAGAGACAACGTTTTTAATGAGCTTGTCCTAAAAATACATTTCTGTAAACTGTTATGAGCTACTTTTCCAGCCTTATCGTCCATTTGTCTTCACACAGCCAGGGGTTAAATTCAAACATTTAGCAAGTTCTCTGGCAAGAGTATGACCCTGAAGAACAGACGCTGCCTGGGGCTCCCAGGCAGCCGTCCAGGACTAGCCCACAGCACCCTTCGCTCTGGCCAGGCTAAGCTCTTTTGATTTTTTTCCCCACAACACTTGGTATACCAGGCTCCTTCTGCCCACCCTGCCTGCCCGTATCCCCTGCCTTTCTGAGGCCTTGTCAGCTCTCTCTCCTTTCTGAATCCAGGGCTCCACGTGCCCCTTCCCAAGTTGTGCCCCATAACCCTGTCCCTGCCTCTCTCGCAGCGCTTGCCCTGTACTTGGCCTCCGGGTGATTTGAATTTTGTCATCTCTTCTCCCGGGATCCTGGCTCCTTGAAGTTGAGGACCAGGTTGTCTTCTTGTCTCCACCTTGAGTCACTTGAACATGTTTGCTAACTCAGAAGCCTTTGGTGAACTTCCTGAATGGAATTAAATAGTTTGCCTAGGCACTGACTGGGCAGTGGTACATGGGAGCCCTTTGTCTGCTTCTGTCTTTTAGCCGAACTGACCTGAAATTGAGCAGGTCGGGGTGTTACTCACATGCAGGACTGGTTTGCTGTGGCCACTCCAGTGTGGTGGGTTTCAGGGAACTGCTCCATTTCTTCTTCGTTGGTTTGGTTGTTTCAGTTTAGCCAACAGTTTTGACCCAGATGTATGTAAGACTTTGGGCTGGTTCCTGTGAGACCCTAAAGATGGATACATAATACCTGTTTTCAAGGAGAAACCAGAACGTGGAATTTGAAGTTAGGAGAGTTCAGTTTGTATCTCTGCTAAGTGGCCCCTAGACAGAGGATGTTGTCCAGAGCCCTTAGCTTTTCTGAGCCTCTGAAGGGTTGCAGGGGATGTGAGACGTGGTGTTACCTGGCACTGTGAAATAGTCAAACAGCATCATCTAAACCTGTTTCTAAAGGAACTGAGAACCTTGTTTAGAGAATAGGCTGGCTATGTTCATATGTAATTATAGAAGCAGGGAGACTGTTGTTAATAAAATAACACAGAAGTGGGAATTCCCTGGCGGTCCAGGAGTTAGGACTCTGCGCTTTCACTGCTAGGACCCGGGTTCAATCCGTGGTTGGGGAACTATGATCCCATAAACTGCTTGGTATGGCCAATAAAGAAAGAAAGTAACCCAGAAGTGTTCATGGAACAGAAAGATGCCTTCCAGCTGAGGGGATTAGGGAAGGCCTAATGGAGGGGTGCGAGCGCTTTCTGCGGCCTTGAAGGGTGTGTTTGGGGCAGACTCCTGTATCCTGTTTGGCAGTAGTAAGAGATGGGGCTGAAAGGGCTGGGCACTCTGCAGGTGCCAGGTCTTAGAAGAGTGGCTGTGGGGAGTGCGCAGGACCTGAGGGGGCTGGAGCCTGGAGGCAGGGCAGCCCGGCAAGAGGCAGCAGCATGGGGCTGGCGGGGACGGAGCTGGGAACCTGAGCAGGGAGGGGGAAAGGAGGGGGAGGGCTCCATGAAGAGAAGAGGAGTAAACTGTCCAGAGAGGGAGGTGATGGCCTTAAAGAGCACCGGAAGGAAACTGAGCACTGCCATGCCACTGCTGCAGCTCCAGGCCACTGCCGCGGCTGGGCTTCGAGAGCAGCACAGCCTTTTCCATGCTGCATAGCACTCTGTTTTACAGGTAGTCCTGACATTTTTTGACAGGTTCCTGCTGATGGACATTTAGGTTTGCAGATTTTTACTGTTATGCATTATTGTAAGAATTCCCTAGTCACAGGTTGCATTTAAAATCTTGGTAGATTATGCTAAATTTCATTCCAGAAAGGTCTTTAAAAAATTTACATGCCTACGAAGAACATGAGAGTTTCTGGCTGATGGTAGATATTTTTATTGTAAATGAGTTAAATAAAAAATGTGCGTAGAATGCCACTGGAACTTGTTGTACTTAGGGTGCGTGGTCACACAAACGTCATTGTGCTGGGTACTGGGACTTCGGTGGCCTCTCCTCAGTCTTGTGTTTTTCCTTCGCACTATAGTGTGAGAGTTTACTCATGTCAGCAGACATTTGAAAAAAGTTAGCAGCTACGTATATATTCATATTTAATGTTGTGTCCTAGAGCTGTACCATAACTCTATTTCAACATTTTTCTGTTAAGGGACATTTAATTTTAAGCTTTTTGTGGGGGGGGCATTAATCTACTGATGAACATCTTTTGCTCAAGTTTTGCTCAGGATTTTGTATTTTGTTTTAGTGTCAATTCCTAAAGCGGGTTAGAGTATAAACATGATACGCGGGCTTCCCTGGTGGTGCAGTGGTTGACAATCCGCCTGCCAATGCAGGGGACACGGGTTCGATCCCTGGTCTGAGAAGATCCCACATGCAGCAGAGCAACTAAGCCTGGGTGCCACAACTACTGAACCTGCGCTCTAGAGTCCGTGAGCCGCAACTCTTGAGCCCATGTGCCCCAACTACTGAAGCCCACGCACCTAGAGCCCATGCACCGCAACGAAGAGTAGCCCCCGCTCGCCGCAACTAGAGAAAGCCTGCGTGCAGCAATGAAGACCCAACACAGCCAAAAATAAATAAATTAAATAAATAAATTAAAAAAAAAAACACAACATGATACGCTTCTTGGTACATGTTGCCCAGCTGCTTTCAGGAAGGTGGTGCCAGTTCACACTCCTCCTCCTCCATCACCAGCCTGGGGCTGGGCTGCTTGTCTCTTACTCTTTATTAATGGAGAAGTGCAGCATTGTGTATTAATTTGTATTCTGTGATTGTGTGTTTTTAGTCATTTGTGTCCTTCTGTGAATGTTCTGTTACCTTTTTTTAATATATGTTTATTCATTTATTTTTTGGCTGTGTTGGGTCTTCATTGCTGCACGCGGGCTTTCTCTAGTTTTGGCGAGCAGGGGCTACTCTTCGTTGTGGTGCGTGGGCTTCTCATTGCAGTGGCTTCTCTTGTTGTGGAGCACGGGCTCTAGGCACGTGGGCTTCAGTAGCTATGGCACGCAGGCTCAGTAGTTGTGGCCCAGGGGCTTAGTTGCTCCTTGGCATGTGGGATCTTCCCGGACCAGGGCTCGAACCTTTGTGTCCTGCATTGGCAGGCGGATTCTTAACCACTGCGCCACCAGGGAAGTCCAAAACCTATATACTTGGCCAGAATTAGTGTGCTTCGGAGGATCTGGAAGCCTTATTAGCCCTTCCAGTGTTCTGCAGGACAGTCTGGCTTCTGCAGGGCAAAGCCTTGCTGGGCAGCCGTTCTTACTCAGTTGGGAAGTATGTGTACTAAGTCTCACAAAGTAAGTAACTGGTTTGCAGCCCCATCATCAGGTAGCACTTAAACCAGGGGGGCTGGGCTGGAGGTGCTTCTGTCTCCCCACTGTCAGCAGGACCCTTTGCCCCGCCCTGCTCCAGCAGACACTGCGGGGTGCGTCCTGGGCTTCTGTTTCACAGGCTTTTCCATGGCACGTGGCGAATCATTAGCTTCTTAGAGCAGCTCTGTGAGTCACGTCCTTCCTTTTTAGGTGGGCCGACTGCGACTGTGGAGCCCATGTGACATGCCAGAGCCACGCAGCCGGTAGCTGGCAGAACTGGGTGCAGACACTGGGATCCGTTCCGTCTGCCTCACCGTTCTGGACGGCCTCGCTTACTGTGTGCGGGGTTATGGGGGTAGTATTGTCCCAGTGATCTAGATGGGAGGGTCAGGTTCAAAAGCTAATCAGGCCCGACTCCCAGCTCACCTTGCCAGTACGTTTATTGATGGAGTCTTTTTCTCCTACATTAGCAGTGTTTTTAATAGTTTTAATAGCTAACGTCTATCTTTTAATAACTGAAGCTTAACTTCTATTTCTTTAGTTCCAAAATTACATTTTAAAGAGATGTAGTAAGCTGTGTCTATAACACTTAACTGTATGTTTTTCAATTTAGAGACCAGAATAAATACAAAGATGCAGCTAATCTACTGAATGATGCCTTGGCCATCCGTGAAAAAACTTTGGGCAAAGATCATCCTGCGGTTTGTATACTGGTCCTTTCATTCTTTTTATATATTATTTTCCCTAATGTATTTTTATACCCATCTCATTTTAATATTAAACTCAACAGGGAAGATTTAAGAGCTGCCTTTTCACTGGACGGCACAGGTAGGACTTCCCTCACTTAGTACAAGTGATGAGCTTCAGTGCTGGTGACTCCCATTTAGCAGGTGTCAGTGTGCAGTTAAGTTGTTTATCACCCCACCTCAGATGGATCACGTACTGTGTTTTTTGATCCTAAATCAAATTGCATGTACTTCTGTAAATTTTTTCATAAAGATTTTGTATTGTCTTTTTATTAAAATCTGGTGAGATTTGCATATAGATCTATTTTGGTTGGCTTTGTGGCTTTCAGTGAAATTAAAAAAATCAAGATCCTGTTGATGTTGATTTGTTAATTTTAATATTCTGCAGTGTTACTTTATGCAGTCTGTCTGTAGACAGTGAGATTGCTCTTTCGCCTTTAAGTGGAGTCATGTTCCTTCATCCAGCTGAGAGCTCTTCCCTGCACATACTGGGCGTGATGAGTGTGTGATGTCTCACATCCCCTCCACTCCTGTCGTTTACTGTTCTTCACGGTTCCCTGTGTTGGTAGGTGGCAGCAACTCTGAATAACCTCGCAGTGCTTTACGGCAAAAGAGGAAAGTACAAAGAAGCTGAGCCGCTGTGTAAAAGAGCTCTGGAGATCAGAGAAAAGGTGCGACTAAGGACGGTTCTCCTTGAGATGCTATGTTTTATGCTTTTAAATAACTCACTTTTTTTTTTTTTTAATAACTCACTTTTAAGCTTTGAGATAGGACCACTGTGATATATCATTACTGACCATTTACTGAAAATAAGCCCTTCGGTCAGGTGGGCAGCCCCAAACGCAGCCAGATGGGCCCATACACATGGGAGTTTAGGAGGAGTGGGTATGCAGAGGGTGGAGCCTTGGGTCTGCATGCCCTCCCAGCCTGAGGCCTAGAAATGATTCAACTGAAGAAGGAATTTCTCAGGCCTGTAGGTGGAAGGCACGGGGGCATTTCATTGACGGTGGGGCACGTGCCTGTCAAGAAGAAAAACATTAAAATTTTAAAAATGAGGTCAACAAATATGCTTATGAAACTGAAGAAAATGATTGTTTTTGAGAACTAAAGAGTAACTCAGAGCTGTAGATTAAGTCAGTCATGGATGTGTAATGTCAGCTAATACAGTTTATAGTAATTAGGTATTTTTTAAATGTAACTTGTTAATTTCAGCAGTGCTCTGGATGACCGTGTATTCAGATGTTAGAGACTTGGCAGGTCCATGCCATGACTTTTTTTTTTTAAAGGTTATTTTATGACATATAGGTTTGTTTGTTTATTTATTTGTTTGTTTTTGGCTGCGTTAGGTCTTGTTGCTGCGTGTGGGCTTTCTCTAGTTGCGGCGAGCAGGGTTTACTCTTCATTGCGGTGTGCAGGCTTCTCGTTGCGGTGGCTTCTCTTGTTGCGGAGCACAGGCTGTTGGCGCGCGGGCTTCAGTAGTTGCAGCATGTGGGCTCAATAGCTGTGGCTAGCGGGCTGTAGAGCGCAGGCTCAGTAGTTATGGCGCATAGACTTAGTTGCTCTGTGGCATGTGAGATCTTCCCGGACCAGGGATCGAACCCGTGTCCCCTGCATTGGCAGGCGGATTCCCAACCGCTGTGCCACCAGGGAAGTCCAATGCCATGATATTTTAATTTGACTTTTGTGTCATTATTTACCGTTGATACTGAGCAATCAGTCATTTAATTTTGAGTCATATGGCAAGGACCTGGGAAAGGGAAGATGAAAAGGGGCTACTTACCACATTATGCAGGTGAAATTTTGTCCATGTTGCCATCTGCATAATATTTACAAAATAAAATAGTCTTTATTTATTTTATTTTATTTTATTTATTTATTTTTTTGCGGTACGCGGGCCTCTCACTGCTGTGGCCTCTTTTGCTGCGGAGCACAGGCTCCGGACGCACAGGCCCAGCTGCTCCGCGGCATGCGGGATCCTCCCGGACCAGGGCACAAACCCGTGTCCCCTGCATCGGCAGGCGAACTCCCAACCACTGCGCCACCAGGGAAGCCCTAAAATAGTTTTTATTTTATTTTTTATTTATCCACTGAGATTTTGAGTGGGCTGGGGTTAAAATCAGGGAGAATCACAAATGTATCAAATTGAGGATTATGAACTATAGGTGATGATCTATCAGATTCATTCATATATATTTGCTCTTTCGTTCAGTCATGTAGCAGACATTTATTGAGGACTTGGGGGCTCCCTGCTTGGTTAGAGTTGGTGATTTCAAATTAGACACAGTCCTTTCCCTGGGGACACAGTGCAGCAAGCAGACCTTGGGAATGCAGGTGCTTTGGCTGCTAGCCTAGAGCTCAGGGAGCACATAGAGCAAGGGCTTCTCCAGGTACAGGGCTGGGACTGTGCTGGGCATGGCCTCCCATAAACGGCCAGCGTTGGAGCTGAGTCTCAAGAACTGAGGTCAGAGCTTCCCAGGCAGGGAGAGGAAGGGAATGCAGAGGGGATGGAGAGGCAGCCTGCGTCACTGGGGACTGTGTAGGTAAAGGCACAAGGTGAGAGACTGGATGGCTGGCTCAGGTCCTGAGGAAGCAGTGTAGTGTTTGGTCGTCCACCTGTGTGCCAGCACCGTCCTAGATGCTGAGAGGACATTACATCCAGACATTGAGACAAGGCATTTGCACACTGAGGCTTACATCTTAACGGGTGAGAGTCAGGTGATAAAGGACTAAATAGTTAAGATAGTTTTGGGTAGTGATACTTGCAAAGAAAGAAAAAAACCAGGTGATGTGCTTGTGAGTAAACTGGGTGGGGATGGGCTGAGGGCTCCCTTAAATTGGATATAAGGAGGTCCTCTCTGAGGGGACCTGAAAAGAGACTTGAAAGATGAGTTATTTAGTGGAGGGTGGGGAGCAGGGCAGTGCTGGGAGAAGAGTGTTGGGCGTCTGGGACAGTAAGTTCAAGTTCGAAGAGCCCTGAGGTGAAGTTTGAAATGTGAGGGAAATGGTTTGGGATGCTCAGAGAATCTGGGTCTGAATGTGAAGGGATACGTAGGATGTGAATTGAAGAATCGGAAGTTTCCTTTGAAGGCTGTTCTGTGCAGGGATAAGTGTAATGTAGTTAGACTCAGAAGGGCCAGGTGTAAGTTCAGGCACTTCAAGGACTGGGCGGCCATATTAAACAGCCTTTATAAAACCCAGTTTCCTCATCTTCATACTGTGCATAGTATTGCCTACCATGTAGGATTATTATAAGAATTAAAGACACTAAAGCACGTGAAGGAAATCAGCATAGTCCCCCCCCAAGAATAAGGAGTTCAACAAATTCTGGTTAAGTTATTTTTATTATTGCATGGGGAGCCATTTAAACATCATAAGCCTGGAAACAAGGCACAGTCGTATTTATGTTTAGAACGCGCCTTCTCATGATAGGGTGGAGAATGGATCGGATGGTACCATGTGAAACAAATAATAAGTGTTTCTAATACACTATTTTTTATTCCCAGGTTTTGGGAAAGGATCACCCCGATGTTGCCAAGCAGTTAAATAACTTGGCCTTACTGTGCCAGAACCAGGGCAAGTACGAAGAAGTAGAATATTATTATCAAAGAGCCCTCGAGATCTACCAAACCAAACTGGGGCCTGATGACCCCAATGTGGCCAAAACGAAAAATAACCTGGTACGTTGACAGAGGTACAACTCTATAGATAGAGCCACATTACTTCCTTCCTGAAATCTGAACTCTGTTTCATAGTTTAACCTATAAATAAGAACGTATGCTTCACTTACGTATGAAGAATAGTAAGTACTTTGTTTTATTTTAAGGCATCCTGCTATCTGAAGCAAGGAAAATTCAAGCAGGCGGAAACACTGTACAAAGAGATTCTCACTCGCGCACATGAAAGGGAGTTTGGTTCTGTAGATGGTAAGAAATGTACTGTTGTTTCTAAGCAGATGCAGTTGTAGGATGCATTAAACATAGTGATTTCCGTGAAGCAAAAGGATAAAAAAAAATAGTGATTTCCAGCTTGAACTTGGTAATACCCAAGTCATCACAGTATTTTCAAGGTAGAATTTAATTTGAATTTTAGAAATGATTTTCCATGGAGCGCTTATTGGAGAGGATGTGACCCGGTCTGAGTGAGTGCCCATCGGCTCATCATTCATCATCCAGTGACCGTGGTGAACCCTGCGTACCTGCCCTGGCATTACCGATAATGGAGTCATGCAGCCTGTGGTCAGGGTGATGGGCCACGCTACCCTCACCGGAGTCCACACGTGCTTTAGGCACAACCTAGATGCACTGACTCCAGAAAGCCTTCCTGGAGTCATTAATGCTTTCTAGAATTGCTCTGTAATACAGTGGTTCTCAAAGTGCTGGCAGGAACCAGCAATTTCAGCGCCACCTGGGATCTGTCAGAAATGCAGCTTCTCAACCCATCCCAGGCCTGCTGGGTTGTTTCACGGCCTTAAGGAGCTAAGGCCTGTCTCCTTTGTATCCCTTAAAGTATTGTAGGTGCTTAATATTAATATTTTGTAAGATTTTAATTGCTCAGTAAAACAATATTTGTGTGTTACATAAGGCATCTTCCCCCCTTTACTGCCTATTACATAAGGATTTCAGAATGTCAACAGTTGTTACTAGTGTGTGGGAAACCTTAGAATTTGTGGGGAAAAAGGTTTTGATTAATAAATATTTTCTTCTATAGAGAGTTTCTAGAAACTACTTTTGAAAAATCTTTGAAAAGTGTATTAGTTTTTCTCTGTTAACAAGTGGAGCAGTAAATCTCTTACTATCAGAAGATCGTAATGCCTCAGGCTCATCATTTTGAAAATGGATTTTGTTTGCAGTTGTGCCGGGACTGGATAACAGCCCACCTCCCTGGACTTGTACAGTTCACAGGGCACTTTCATGTCCTCGTCTAACTGTAGAGACCTTGCTGGTTTTGTGTTGATTGCAGGCCATCTCCTTAGTGCTTCTTTCAAAAAATTTTACTCTTGGGGAAGACTTGTTTCCTTGTGATTTGCTAGCTTCTTTCTACTAAAAATAGTAGCATGAAGTCCAGTTAATTGGGTTCTAGTTAAAAGCAGTTTTTCTGTACTCAGATTTATCCTCCATACAAATGTTAAAACGTAGGGCAGAAAGGCGTTTTTTCTTTAGGCAAGATGCACATGTGTCCTGGTTTGCTGTCGGGGCGTGGCTTTCAGGTCACAGGGCCTTCTTGGCTACAGTGCAGCATTGAAACCCATGACCTGGTTTGTTGTCAGGAAATCTAGTTCTCTTAACTGGTGGATTCTTGTCTGTTCTAACAATAGGGTTAGGTTAGTACATAAAGCTAAAACTGCAGTAAATAACAGTGTTATTAAGCTTTAAATACTGTTCACTTTTTTTTTTAAATAATTGTGATATACAGTTATTTTTCAAGTATTTGAACAATTGTACGAGCACCACTAACTGAATAATCCTTCCATTCCCCCCACTCATTCGTAAGGTCATATTCTAAATTCTTTATCAAGTCAAGGGTTTTGTTGCTGGTGGTAGTGGTAGTGGTAATGGTGGACCATTCCTCTCCATTTATGCAGGTATTGATTCTTGTACCGGTTGCACATCTTCTTGGCTGCTGTGGTTTTGCAGTGAGGCGGGGTGGGGGTGAAGTTAGATATGTGATGTGACAAAGTCTGTAAGTACTCTTCCTTTTCAAAACTTCCCTGGCTAGTCTCACCATTGTTAATTGAAGTATAGTTGATTTACAATGTTGTTAATTACTGCTGTACAACAAAGTGATTCAGTTATATATGTACATTCTTTTTCTTTTTATATTCTTTTGCATTATGGTTTATCATAGGATACCTATTATAGTTCCCTGTGCTGTACAGGAGGCCCTTGTTGTTTATTCATTCTGTATATAATAGCTTGCGTCTGCTAACCCCAAACTCCCACCCCACTCCTCCCCCACCCCCCTTCCCTTTGGCAACCACCAGTCTGTTCTCTATGTCTGTGAGTCTCTTGCTGTTTCATAGATAGGTTCCTTTGAGTCATATTTTAGATTCCACATATGAGTGGTATCATATGGTATTTGTCTTTTTCTGACTTACTTCACTTAGTATGGTAAGCCCTAGTTGCATCCATGTTGCTGCAGATGGCATTATTTCGTTCTTTTTTTTATGGCTGAGTAGTATTCCGTTGTATATATGTACTACATCTTCTTTATCCATTCATCTGTCGATGGACTTTTAGGTTGTTTCCATGTCTTGGCTATTGTGAATAGTGCTGCTATGAACATAGGGGTGCATTGTATCTTTTTGAATTACAGTTTTGTCTGGATATATGCCCAGGAGTGGGATTGCTGGATCATACAGTAATTCTATTTTTAGTTTTCTGAGGAACCTCCATACTGTTTTCTATAGTGGCTGCACCAATTTACATTCCCACCAACAGTGTAGGAGGGTCCCTTTTTCTATACCTTCTCCAGCATTTGTTATTTGTAGACTTTTTAATGATGACCATTCTGACTGATGTGAGGTGATAACCTCCTTGTAGTTTTGATTTGCATTTCTGTAATAATTAGTTATGTTGAGCATCTTTTCTTGTGACTGTTAGCCATATGTATGTCTTCTTTGGAGAAATGTCTATTTAGGTCTTCTGCCTTTTTTTTTTTTTTTTCGCGGTACACGGGCCTGTCACTGCTGTGGCCTCTCCCGCTGCGGAGCACAGGCTCCGGACGCACAGGCCCAGTGTCCACGGCTCACGGGCCCAGCTGCTCCATGGCATGTGGGATCCTCCCGGACCGGGGCACAAACCCGTGTCCCCCACATCGGCAGGTGGACTCTCAACCACTGCGCCACCAGGGAAGCACCCTTCTGCCCATGTTTTGATTGGGTTGTTTGTTTTTTTGTTGTTGAGTTGTGGGAGCTGTTTGTATATTTTGGAAATTAAGCCCTTGTCAGTTGCATCATTTGCAAATATTTTCTCCCATTCCGTAAGTTGTCTTTTCATTTTGTTTGTGGTTTCCTTTGCTATACAGATATTCACTCTTTTAAAACCAGTATTTAAAACTAGTTTCATTCTTCTCCTATGACATGCCCAATAATCCTAAGAATAGTTAACCACATACTAGTCTTTTAGTTAAAAACAGTTTAAATATGTAATCTTATTTAATTTTCTCAACAGTCCTGTGAAGTGGGTCACACATTACTCCATTTTAGGAGCGAGGACACTGCAGGCTAAGCGACTCGCCCAGGATGGGTAGCTCATGAGTGGTTGGATTGGGTGGGAGCACAGGTCTTATTCTCCAGAAACCTCAAAAATAAGTGAAGAGACGGGATCATGAAAATCACCTATAATTTCATCACCCAAATATGTCTTAATTTTTTGTGTCTTTCCTTCCTTTTTTGCCAATTGATTTGCATAATTGAAACCACACTTTATATATAATCATGCATACTGCTTATTTCCTTTTATACTTGTAGCTTAAGCATTTTTCATGTCAAAATATTTTCATAACCTTCACTTTTAAAAAATATTTATTTGTTTTTATTTTTGGCTGCGTTGTGTCTTCTTTGCTGTGCTTGGGCTTTCTCTGGTTGCGGTGAGCGGGGGCTACTCTTTGTTGCAGTGCGCAGGCTTCTCGTTGTGGCTTCTCTTGTTGCAGAGCACAGGCTCTAGGTGCGCGGGCTTCAGTAGTTGTGGCACACGGGCTCAGCAGTTGTGGCTCGCGGGCTCTAGAGCGCAGCCTCAGTAGTTGTGGCACACGGGCTTAGTTGCTCCGCAGCGTGTGGGATCTTCCCGGGCCAGGGCTCAAACCCGTGTCCCTTGCACTGGCAGGCAGATTCTTAACTACTGCGCCACCAGGAAAGCCCATAACCTTCACTTTTGAGACTGCTTATCCTCCATGATGTGGGTGCATTAGTTGGAAGCTTTGGATGAGTGGTATGTGTCAGTGTTCTCAAAAGTGAAGAAAATTTTAAAGGAATATTGATTTGTAGTTTTTCCATTTTTGCTCCCAACATCTTACTACTATTTCTTAGATTTTTGTTTAATGTTAGTTGTTCAAATTCTAAATAGTCCCAAGTGTTACGTGAGGGTTCTAGCATTAAAAGTTTCCTTATAGGGACCCTAGCATTTGTCCGTGTTTTTGATCGTTGCCTACCCTGTCTAGGTAGGTACCTTTGATTCCATGTCTTCTGTTCACAGAGCTGCATGTGAATGGCCATTTCCTCCTGGTTTCTTGTGGTCTGGTTCTGTCTTCATAGTCTTTATTCTCCATTGTGAAACCTTGTCTGTCCATGATGTGAAAAGTAATATCTGAGAAGGATCATACGGAAAACAAAACAGAAACCTTGCAGTTGCTGAAACTTGACAAATTCTACTTTGTGGGCTCTGTTATGCTTCAGTTTATAGTATGTTATTTTTTCTTCCCTAGATGAAAATAAACCCATTTGGATGCATGCTGAGGAAAGAGAAGAATGCAAAGTAAGGACATACTATTTCGAGAGATTCTAAATTGAATATATTGCTTAAGATAATTATTCACTTGAAATTATTTGCTATAATTTAGGGAAAGCAAAAGGATGGGACTTCTTTTGGAGAGTATGGTGGCTGGTACAAAGCCTGCAAAGTTGACAGGTACGTCTGCTTAACTGAAAAACAAAGACACAGCTGTGGAAGGTGCTAATGCTTCAAAGGTAGCTTGTAAATGACCGAGTGTGTAAGTTGCTTAAAGTGGTGTGGTTGCACAGTCCCTGATTTTCCACAAATTCCAATACAAACTCCATAACTTCGTAAATGAGGTAATTCTTGTACACAGAACCCACCGTAATATGGGTCACGTGGGTAACATATTGGTTCTGTCCATTAATGCTGTGTCTAAGGCTAAGTACCAAATCGCAGGAGAAGAGATGACTAAATATAGAGACACAACATTTAAGGTGGCCATAGAGCAAACTCACGGGAAACAGGCCAGCAGACGTGCAAAAGCCAGCACTTTGCAGGTGTGTCCAGGTGCACACCCCGGTCTCTCCCTCAGCCCTCAGGGCCTCCGAGTCTGCGGAGGGTTGTGTGAGCCCCTTCGCCAGCAGCCCATGAGCCTGTGCAGATGCCCGTTTCCTCTTCTGACTGCAACACCTTTCCTGCAGTCTTTTTCCTATTTTAACTTTTGCTCACCCTTTAAGACTTAGTTTACCAGTCTTCTATTTCAGAAAAACTCTCTGAACCCCTAGTTTGGAACAAGTACTCCTTCTTTGGGTTCCCCATAGCACTTAGCATAACTTCTGAATTGCATGTGCTTTGTTTCTCCCAATACTCTGTAAATTGTCTCAAAGACATGGAGTATAGCTTCTTTATTTCTAAAGCGCCTATCATCAGTAAGAAAAGAATCTCTCGAAGTATATCTATACTAAAATGAACTAGACTTATTTCTCGTTTCTTAGTAAGAGTGCTCTGTGGGGAGTGCAGAAGCACTGTCTGTGTCCACACTGTTTGTTCATCCTTTCGCACACACAGCCGTCATTCTGTGACTCAGATCTCATTGGTGATGAGTTTTGGATTCACTTTGCTTCCCCTCTACTTGTAGAGGGAGGGGAGAAGGTAGATAGCAGCATTAAAACATGTGTCCTCTTTACTACCTGGCACAGTCAGCTCTGCCCCCGAGGGGGGAGAAGCCTGATGGTCACTGGACAGACCCAGAATAGACATTTTTGTTGAGACTGCCCGGTGGTCTGTGGGAGCAGCCACAGACTGGAAAGAATACAGGGGCATGTCCCATCAGCCACAGGGCTCAGTGCAGTAGGCAGGGGATGCTTGACATAGAAGAGCCTTTTAGAGTTTTACAGTTAAAAAAAAGTACCATAGAAATTTAAATAATTTCGGCCAGACATAAGTCTGTTTGTCCTTTAGCTTATGTGCTGTTGATAGTGGTTGCTCTAAACTTACATTTTATAGCTTTGTATGTCATATGCTTTCTTACAGTCCGACCGTTACAACTACTTTAAAAAACCTTGGGGCACTTTACAGACGTCAAGGCAAATTTGAAGCTGCAGAAACTCTGGAAGAAGCAGCCATGAGGTCACGCAAACAGGTCAGTCAGAAACCTTCTGTTTTTAACTTAGCCTTCTGCATTGATTGATTGATTGATTGTACGCGGGCCTCTCACTGTTGTGGCCCTTCCCGTTGCGGAGCACAGGCTCCGGACGCGCAGGCTCAGCGGCCATGGCTCACAGGGCCAGCCGCTCCGCGGCATGTGGGATCTTCCCGGACCGGGGCACGAACCCGTGTCCCCTGCATCGGCAGGTAGACTCTCAACCACTGCGCCACCAGGGAAGCCCTAGTCTTCCGTTTTTAACTTTGAGTTTAATGATTCTCTTTTACGAGACTACTGAAACCTTGATTTAGAAATAGAAAACGTTTACTGTTCTAGTTTGTACAAATAAACTTATATTGTTCAAGCGACAATATAATGTAAATATATGGTAAATGACACCAAAAGCACGAGCAACAAAAGCAAAAGTCAGATTCACCAAAATTAGAAACATTTGTGCGTTCAAGGACACTATCAAGAAGATGAAAAGACTCACGGAATGGGTGGACCTATTTGCAAATCACATCTCTGAGGAGGTCTAGTGTCCAGAATGTATAAAGACAAAAGGACCACCTAATTAAAAAACGAGCACAGGACCTGAATAGACATTTCTCTGAAGATGCTACACAACTGCCAACAAGAACATGGAAGGATGCTCAACGTCATGAGTCATCAGGGGAATGCAAATGAAAACCACAGTGAGGCACCACCACACACCCACTGGGATGGCTAGAATTCAAAACCAAAACAGAAATAGTAAGTGTCGAGGAGGAGGTGTAGAGACTGGAACCCTTGTGCGCTGCTGGTGGGGACGCAGAATGGTGCAGCTTCTGTAGAGAACAGCTTGGAGGTTCATCCAAAAGAGAAGCATAGAGTTCCTATCTGACCCTGCAAGTCCACTCCTAGGTATACACTGGAGAGAATGGAACACAGGTACTCAAAAGAAATACAGCCGGTTCTCGTTATTCATGGTACTTATGTTCTATAAAGTTGCTTTGAACACTGAATTAGCAAATACTGAACCATTGTTTCTAGGGAGATACAGAGTTATGTTCCTGGGAGCCTCTGGTCGCATTTACTTCAACCGATCAATACATAACCTTGTTCTAGGTGTGTTTCTGTTTAAAGACACCTTATTTAGTATATGTTGTTGATTCATTAGCATCGAGTTCATGGCCAGCAGCACTGTAACTTGTGCCTGAAGAGAGCTCATCTCTCCCCATAAGGCACACCCCAGCCTTCTTGCACTTAGGAACACCAGAGGACACTTTTTCACCGTTTTCAACAGTGAAATCACTGACCGAAATGCGGAAAACATGGCACCAGATGATTTAGACTCAGGGAGGGAGGATGCTTGTTTACATTATAAGGTGAAACAAGAAAGCAGAGTGTCACCTTGTTCGATCTTAGCTGAGGATGTGCGTGTCAGGTGACTCGAAGTTTTCTCCACTTCGTGTGTCTGTGAATGACCATGAAAGCACTGCGAGTGTTGATTTTAGGATTACAAATACGTTTTGGTCAGTAGGTGAATTAGCATATATGGCCTCCGTAAGTGATGAGGGTTGACTGCTCCTGTGCATATACGTTCGTGGCAGCGTTACTCTCAGTAGGCTGAACGAACACACAGACCCAGGTTCGTCGGTGGATGGATGGATACACGAGGTGATATATCCATGCGATGGAATACTATTTGGCAATAAGAAGGACTGCTGAAGCACTTTGCTTCATCAACTGAGGTATTTTAGTTATGCTGAAATACAGTTGTAAAGAACATACAGGAAAAAGGCTTAGTTCTTGCCCCTTAATTACCAGTTTTAGAGTAAGGAGTTAATGTATTACTGTGTATGTATATGCATATAAAGATGGCAGGTTTTGTTTTCTATTTTTAGTGCTGGAGGGACAGGTGTGGCTTTTTCCCCTGAATGGTGTGTGTGTAGCCTATTATGCAGTTGTTGGTTTAAAGCCACCTTTTGGCTGGGATTAAAGTTACCCATAGGTACCTTAGAATTTTTTCCTTCCAGAGATTCTGTGCAGAGGGATTAGAGAAGGCCCAGCATAGGTGTTGTCAGTGGTGCTCTCCTAGCTTGTGCCCTGCAGGAGCCCCTTTCTTGAGTCCTGTCGTCCTTCCCAGGTCTTTTGGCTCTGAGGGGCTACTGTTCAGGGGAGGGTGCCCTGGGTGTAGGCGGCGTGGGGTTCTGACTCGGCCGGCGGTCCGTGGTGCCCCTGCATCACCAGGCCTTGCTGTAGACCAGTGCCAGGCGGCGTTCATGCAGCCAGTGGGGTCTAGAGTCACGAGCTGCAGAGATGTTTAGAGAAAGGGGTGTCGCCGGTGGTTTGCTGAGCACAGCCCCTGCTGCGCCTGGGAGGGCCACGGTCCGCTTCACTGGAGGTCACCGCAGCGCATGGTCTGTTTGGGTATTGTGCCCCCTGAGGAGGAAACCCTCAGGGTCAGCGAAGGGGCAGTATTTGCATGAGCTGTTCAGGTTGAGATTCCATTTAGAACATAAGACATGCTGCACCTGGTCATCAGATGGTGCTGAAATGCACATGCACAACGTTTGCTGCTGGGTGTTAATCCAGTTATGTTTTCACTCAGATGTGTGTGGGGTGATTGTTGAGAAAGTAGGCGAGTGCTTGCCGCTGCTCATCGCTCTGTGGAGTAGGAAAGTTTGCTGTTAAAATGCCTTTTGTTAAATAAGTGGCTAATTTTTTTTTTTTGTGGTACGCGGGCCTCTCACTGTTGTGGCCTCTCCCATTGCGGAGCACAGGCTCTGGACGCACAGGCTCAGCGGCCATGGCTCACGGGCCCAGCCGCTCCGCGGCATGTGGGATCTTCCCGGACCGGGGCACGAACCCGTGTCCCCTGCATCGGCAGGCGGACTCTCAACCACTGCGCCACCAGGGAAGCCCTAGTGGCTAATTTTTAAAAATGTTATACTGAGAATAAAGTAATCCGTGAGTTTTCAACCATGTACTTATTTTGGAGGCATGGAACACCAGGCACTTAACGTTAAAGTGTCAAAAACTGGGCAGTTTCCCAGCATCTCACCATGAAACTTCCAAACATAGAGTAAAGTTGAGAGGATTTTATACCCGTGTACCGCCTCCTAGATTCAGTCACGAGCATGTCTCCCATCTATCCATCCTTCAGTCCTTTTTTTTTCTCCGATGCCTTTCAAAGTTGTATACCTCAGTACACTTCCTTTTAAATACTTCAGCGTGCACATCATAACCTGGAGCTCAGTATTTGTTTATAATTTTTTTTAACATTTGAGGTAAAATTTACATACGGTGAAATGCACAAGTGTTAAGTGTACATTCGTGAGAATCACTGTTCTGATTTTTCCCTCCAATGTTTAAGAACTTTTTTTCCCCTAATATACATTTAGTTATCTTAGAAATTCCCAATAAAACTTAAGTGCTGATGGATCACACCCTTTTCCCCCTGCCTGGCTCGCAGGGTCTTGACAATGCTCACAAACAGAGAGTAGCTGAAGTGCTGAATGACCCTGAGAACATGGAGAAGCGGAGAAGCCGCGAGAGCCTCAGCGTGGATGTGGTCAAGTACGAGAGCGGCCCTGACGGAGGGGAGGAAGTGAGTATGAGCGTAGAGTGGAACGGGGTAAGTACAGTACACAGCGCGTGCTCAGCCCGTGCTGCGAGGCCCCGGGCAGCAGCCTGGGCCGTCTCCCACCGGGAGTGCTTTTTGGCATCTCCTGGCTTAACTGCTAGACAGCCTACTTTTCTCAAATTAAGTACGAATTAAGCTTTTTGTAAGTTCTTCTGCTAACACTGAAGTCTGTTATTTGTTTGAAGTAGCAATTTTCTTCTTTTTAGGAATCCATGAAAGCTGTTTGGCTTAACCTTGAGCACTTCAATGCTGATTGAGTGTCCTGGTTTTTAAAGCATAATCCATAATTTGGTTTTATTTTAATATTAGGATTAGTGTGGCAGATAACTAACTCGCTTTTTTAACTTACCCATTTTCATTGCTAACTTCAGTGCTCCTAATTTCACTGACGAGGCTGCTGTAGATTTTGTTAGAATTAATTTAAATACTTCCAAGGAAAAGGGTGATTCAGACAGGACTCTTCTGTAGAAGAGAACAGGTCAGGAGTGAGAATGTTAGGGTGGCTGCTCTTCACGTCCCAGCTCAGTCCACGGAGGGCCCAGCGGCTCACTGCTTTCCATGGTTACCTGCCGGAGGCTTTTGCGTCCCGAGCATGTGCCTCTATTAGAAACATCTCACCTCTGTGGCCAGGCTCTGCCTCTGCCTCTGTGGAAATTCTTAACACTGCTGTTTCTCCAGTATTGCCTTTTGGACATTTTCTTTCTAGTGAATTTTTGTAACACGTGGGTAATTTTTTTGTACATTGAGCTGGTGTCTTTGGAATTCTCCTTTTACGGGGGAGGGTTGAATGCAGGATTAGGTTTAATGCATTCAGTTGCAGTGTTGATTTTTTTGAAGTCACGTAATGCAATTTGATTAGTGGTAATTGTGCACATGTTTTTCCAAATGGTAGTTTGGGACTTTCTTATAGTCTATCTTTTTGAATCTATTTATTCTTTGGGATTTTCTACAGCTGTAGCAATTTGGTAAGGGTCAGCACTCTAGTTGACATTTGATACAGAATGTTGTTGGCCAAGCTTTAAGGGAGAGCATCTCTTTCGACTGTCTTTGCCTGGCAGCTCCCTTGCTTTGGTCTCCCTGCGCCAAGACAACCAGCCAGCATCTGCTTTGACCACTCACCGTCGGGCAGCCGCCCAGAGTGAAATGAGGGCGGCGCTGCCCTACTCGTGTCCGCGTCCAGCCCGCACTGTGTACTGTACTCGCCCCGTGGTGGCTGTTGTCTGCGTGCTTTGTGTAGAGGGCCCCTCCTTTCGCTGGTCTTCAGGAGCCAGGGGGCAGGGTTTGATCCTTTAGAATGAAGTTCTGGAGGAGCTTTCTCTTGAGACAGTATTTCTAGGTCAATCTTTCTATGAAATCACGTGAAAATAAAATTATTGCCATCTCAGAGTTCTATTACTGTCTTCAAGACTGAGACTTGGGGGTGAGGGAGAGCTGCTTTCATTCCTCTGTGGAGGGGCGGGCGGGCGGGCGTCACGGTGCGGTGGGCAGAGGTGGGGACCCCCCCCCCATTCCTGCTCTCTGCCCTTCACCTCACATTTCCTCTCTCACTGTGGACATGCTGTCACTCAGGACACACACGCACATGCTGGGTGCTGGATACCTTTTTTTTTTTTTTTGCGGTACGCGAGCCTCTCACTGTTGTGGCCTCTCCCATTGCAGAGCACAGGCTCCGGACGCGCAGGCTCAGCGGCTGTGGCTCACAGACCCAGCCACTCCGCGGCATGTGGGATCTTCCCGAACCGGGGCACGAACCTCTGTCCCCTGCATCGACAGGCAGACTCTCAACCACTGCACCACCCGGGAAGCCCTGGATACCTTTTTACTTGACTTTTAGACACTAGCGACTCTGCATCTTTGACAGAATCCACTCCAGGGCGCTTCGCCTGGGCTGGATCCAGTTGACTGAAAGAATCTAGATTGCAGGTCATCCAGTGCAGCGGTTCCTAAACTCACTTTGAGCAGCAGAAGGAACCCTCCCTTCAGATGAGGCTTATGTGAAGCAGTGAGTAAATAGAGAACTGCTTGGGTTAACCAGGGAGGGACAGTCGAGAGCTGGCGCCTGAGGCCACCGCTCAGACCAGCACTGCCCCCAGACGGGAGGCCTTGGCTCTTAGACTGGTTTCCTTTGGGAGCTCTGAGGCTCTGAGAAGTTAGTGCTGCTCTTCCAACACTTGACTGGAGTTTTATTTTCAAAGCATGCATTTATAAAAGAGGCAGGAAGGGCAGTATGCACCCTTAGGTGGTGTTTGGTTTTTTTAACATCTCTTTTGGAGTATAATTGCTTTACAATGTTGTGTTAGTTTTTGCTGTATAACAAAGTGAGTCAGCTATACATATACACGTATCCCGTATCTCCTCCCTATCCCACCCCTCTAGGTGGTCACAGAGCATCGAGCTGATCTCCCTGTGCTATGCAGCTGCTTCCCACTAGCTATCTATTTTACATTTGGTAGTGTATATAAGCCCATGCCACTCTCTCACTTCATCTCAGCTTACCCTTCTCCCTCCCCATGTCCTCAAGTCCATTCTCTGTGCCTGCGTCTTTACTCCTGTCCTGCCCCTACGTTCATTAGAACCATTTTTTTTCAGATTCCATATATATGTGTTAGCATATGGTATTTGTTTTTTCTCTTTCTGACTTACTTCAGTCTGTATGGCAGACTCTGGGTCCATCCACCTCACTACAAATAGCTCAATTTCGTTTCTTTTTCTGGCTGAGTAATATTCCATTGTATGTATGTGCCACGTCTTCTTTATCCATTCGTCTACCCTTAGGTGCTCTTTAGATTCAGCTTTGTTGAGGTATAATTGTGTGCAACCAGAGGAGCCCATTTTAAGTTCACCTTGGTTTAGAGGCTCACACACTGCTGTCCTCACATTATCTCTGTCCAGGTGTGAGGATAAAATGTTTAATGCTGTCTCTGCATGACTGCAGATTTCCCTGGGATTACAGGGCAAGCAGATTAAGCATTGTTGCTATTTGCAGCCACTTTCCTGTGTGCATCAAGATTTTCTCTGTTATGCAGTCAAGATAAAAGATAAAAATAAATTGGGAGTTGAGGTGGGCGCTGAGGCTGGACCTGTCTGTAACTTCACATTCAGATCACAGGTTCTCTAAGGCAGCCTCATTGTTCTTACTTGTTTACTTTAATCATAAGAACTTGTTACCCGTTTATAATGAGAAAATGCTGTTTAGGTTTTATTTTATATTGGGGTTCTACATTAGATTTTAATTTTTTAAAAAAGGATTTCAGCGCTCCTTATAAAGTTTGGAAACCACTGCTGTAGGGAAAGTGCTGAGCTGCTCTGTTGGGAAGATGCACACAACCCTCACTTGGGTTTTCACAAACATTTTCACAAGACACTAGGCGCAGGCCTTCTCAACATTCAGAAATAACATGGACCACAAAGGGCAGTGTGGTCAAAGACAAGACAAACTAGGTTATATAATAGTTACTCCCCGCAGATACTGCAAGTCTGGATCAGCAGAGAACTGAATTGTATGCTATTAAGATATAAGAAACGTAAGGCTCCTGGACATATTCTAATTCACGTGAAGTTTCTGGATGAGATTCTTGACATGGTAGATAATTTGTTTAGGGAAGTACAATTCTGTTCTTTTTCTATGTACCATATAGAGATCATAATTGAAGTACTTGAAAATGTAACTTCATCAAATGTTATTTTTGTGTAAACTGTTCAGATCGAAAAGTCACTGTCGAGATAAGTCTCTTACGGTCCTGCTTCTAAAGATGCAGGTGCTCTGTGCATAGTGACCCTTTCTGGGTAAACTTGACTTCACGTTAACTGTGAGACGCACATGTGTCAGTCACCAGGACCCAGGTCCCCACTGGGCCACGCAGGAGCCTTGGGGCTGCTGTAATTAAGGAGTTGCCTTTGCAGCGGTCCCACTAGGCCACCAGGAAACATCACACGTCTTACATTCTGAGCGGAACCTGCGCTGGCCTTTCTGTTTTCAGAGGGCCAGTTCTCTACTGGGGTCCTTCTGAAGTAGCCCCACCACTATGTCCCCATCCTTTTCGTACTGCTCCCCATGTTAATATTTCTAAAAGCTTTTAATACACTAAACTCTTTCCCAGGATTACTGGTAATGAGGTAGCTGTTAATTAGAAATAATGTTATTTTTTAAAAATAAAAATTAAACTAGGAAGACAACTAGAATAGACCAAAAAAGAATTTAAAAACACCAAATCACCTGAAATCCATAGATGATAATCACTGCCATATAATTCTTCACCAATACATTATACTGTTAATTTTTGTTCAGAAACCCAGTTTTTTGATGCAGATACTCTTTCACGGCAGTGTAACGATCTAGACTCTTCTGAAAGTGTTGGGATACAGTGAAACCTCCCAACCCTGTAGTCTGTTTTGAGTAGAAATCCACCTTGTTTGGGTGGGTTTGTGCTGTCCTTCCTGCTGGTTCTCAGGGGCCAGGTTCCCAGCTGGTGAGAGCAAGGAGGGCAGGCAGACCTACCTGCTCCAGCGCCCCACTTCCCCTCCAGGTGCTGCTCCCGCAGCCCAGCCCAGCCTGCCTTGCGGGGGGGGGGGGGTGGAGAGTGAGTGTGTGTGGATGAGTGTATGAAATGCCCTTGGAGTCTGACTGAAATTACTCTTCCATATTCTGCGGGGTGTCTAGTACAGGAATATTACAAATAGTGCTACTAAAGAGTAGCACTGAATTTTGAAATGAACACAAGGAGTTGTACCATTTATAGAATTATATTAACATCTTAGCATTCTATTTCTAAAGAGCAGCAAGAACTTGTGTTTTCTTGTCCTCCCAGCATTGGTGGGGAGTTGGTAACAAGTTTTATTTTTCCATTTTAAAGATGAGAAAGATGAAGCTCGGGCTGGTTAAATGACTTGCTCAGCGTCGCATGGTGAGTCAGCGCGGGCGGGGCTCAGGTCCCCGCGGTCTGGGGCTTCCAATCTGCCGGGACCCAGGATGCGTTGCTGCTTCGGAAATCCTTTTTCTAGTTAATTTTATTTTGGATTATCAACTGCATGTTTAAAATGTGCTATAAACTTGAAAAGTCAGTGTTTCTTAACATTTCTGAAATGTCTAAAATGTTAGTGTTCTTCAGAGAAAGTCCTTTCTGATTTCAGAGAGAACTTTATAGTTTAGCTGTATGCAAGAGGATTTCTGATAAAGTTAAGTCTTTAATGAGTGCACTCTTCCTGTGCATAGCGATCTTTCTTTTGGTCACTGTCGATGGTTTTTGTTTCAGAATCTCCTTATGTACAGTAACTTGAAAACCTTTTTATTGTAAGTATCAAGGAGATTTCTAGCACGGTGCCAGTCCGTGCTCTAAAAATGTTGAATTTTATTTTATTGAGGATTAGGAGTGATTTTAGTCTAGATTATGTAAAATGTAACGTAAGGTCCAGTACCTGTTTCATACGGGGCTGACAGGAGCAGACAGAAGGTAATTCCAAATACTAAAGCGGTAAAAATGCTGCTTAGACTTTGTGACCTAGAAATACTGTAAGCCAAGCTGTGTTGCGTGGAAACTGGCTCTTTTCTCATGAGTTTCACCTGGGCTTTCTCTCTCCGTTTCTGTCTAACAGGCCTAGCTGCCCTGTGTGACACTCACACTGTCTCCTGCATGATGGGCGGCATCTCCTCCAGCTTTTCTTCTCTCTCCAGTGCTGACTGCTGTGTTTAGCAATCCCCTAGGATTCTTGTCAGAGCTACACCTCTCTGTGACTGGCCATTCCTTTGGTGCTGCTGTCCTTTTGGGGGGTTCCTTATCTCTGTATACATGTAGCTTTGCCAGATATGTACTTAGTAATATAAACTGTGTTAATAAAACCATTTACTGTGTAATACATGAGTTTAAAAACTAAGAGCAATTAGCTGTTCACTTTGATAAGAGGTAGTTAGTAGTATCCCCCAGGTGTTACTGCAATGGCATGATGGTGACTGTGACACTACCTAGGCTGTCAGAGTAGGGCATGTGCTGCTCCTGTCGCGTTTGGAGACCTGGTGGGACCACCCTGGGCTCTGGGCGCTCCCCTTAGGATCGTGCTCAAGTAGAATTTGCTGTGTAGTCTTTGTGTGAAATTTTGGCAATTCTGCTTTTCTCTACTAATCTTTAAGTGTTCAGTGATTTGTGTATTTGTGTCTTTCTAACTTCTAATAAACTCACTCCAACTGACCTGTGTCTTGGTGTCTGTCTGCTTGGTAGACCTTCTCATTCTTTCCATGGAATGCAGCATTGCCGTAGCTTCTAGAAGTGGTGGGGCTACTGTTAATCTTACTAAATGATTCATTCTGAGAATAAAAGTTGTTCTATACACATTTTTTTCACTCGGTGTATTTGATTTTCATATCCAGATGCTGCCAAGTGTTTCACTTATTAATGTCTGAATCAGTTATATGAAAGCTGGGCACTCTTTCACTTGCTTCCTACAAGGCATCTAAGGATTTTTAGTTATTTGTATAGAATGAACGTATTGTTCAATTTTCCCACTACATTTATAATCAACATTTAATAAAACTGTCCTATAAAACTTAATGAAGAAACAGTATATCTAGTGCATGTAGATGAAATTGTTAAAAGGAAGTTGCCTATGTCAAACCTAAATGTTTTAGGTCCTGTACTGTTTCATGGACCAGATGCTTCCATATTTATTAAACATGGAGTTTGATTTTGGTGATCTTCCTAGAAGCTGCCTTAATTTCCTTGAGTCTTTCTGTGTATCTTTTGTTTCAAAACGGTAATATAATTAATTTTCCTTTGGGGATTTTACTACTTTTGTTTGAATGAGCTTTTTCATGTTCAAAGGTTTTCATATTCATTGGATTATCTTTCATGAAATTCAAAATGGATAGATTTCTATTTAAAGTGTATTTACATACATGGCGAATTGATAATTTCTGTAGGAATCACATTACCAGCAAGTCACAGACCGGCAGGTCAACCACCATGTGAATTCTTGTTTTCATTTAGCTTTGTCTCTTGCGGGTTGGGAGGGAGAACCGTGTGGCGCTTCACATTTGTTCACGTTTTTTTCAGGATGGCACTGGATCTTTAAAACGCAGTGGTTCCTTTAGCAAACTCCGGGCTTCAATTAGACGCAGCAGTGAGAAGCTGGTTAGGAAGCTGAAGGGAGGAGGTTCACGAGACAGTGAGCCAAAGGACCCTGGGTAACTATCGCCGCCCCCGCCTGCCCGCCCTTCTCGCCCGTAGACCTCAGAGCTGCGTTCCTGCCTGCTTCCCACATGGTAGCAGTGCAGAGGGTTAGTAGCTGCAGTCCGACTTTTGCCCAGGTTAGGTTGAGAAAAAATTGTGAAATTTCCTGCTTAGAGGCTAAAAGAGCTGAAGCCTTCGAAAGAAATTTATGGAATTCTTTGATTTTGTTACATGTTCAAAGAAAGCCTTAGCAGTGGAAAGTAAGAATTTAATATTAAAATATTGAGCATATTAACTTGTTTTCTCTAAGTATGCATTATTCATTTTTAAAACCAGCATTAGCTTAAATCCTTTAAAGTTAGTTTTAATCTTTTAAAATCAAACGCCAGCTATGACTATATTCAATCTCATCATACAGGTGTTACTATAGGAAGAAAAATGGTTTAAATAGAAGGATGACAATTTCAAGACTTTTGTTATAATGAGTTTCTTTAGGAGATTTAAAAAACCTTAGGTTTTGCATGTGTTTAGAAAAGGGTCTCTTCAGTCATGAGTCTTTTAGGGTCTTTTGAACAATAACTTTTAAGTTATCAAAGGAATTTGATTCTGAGATATTCCTTGCTTTTTATGAGGTTCGCCAGAGGAAGGGTTCTTTGTCCTTCTCTGTTAGTGTTAACAAATTGCCCTGCTTTCTGGGTTATTTCTGGTGTAAACGGCTTCCTGGTTTTGGATGCGTTTCTCACAGAAGCACTGTATTGTACTGTCAGCTGTTTGTGAAACTCCGCCTCCCTAAAATGTACCTGTTTTGTAAAGGTAGATTCTTACCTTAGTATGACTGTTTTCAAGTATTTCACTTTAAGTTCTGTAAGAACCCTAATGTGTCAGGACTGAGACCGAGCTCCTTTGGGTAACGCATGGGAGCATAAAGGTAGGTGCTTTTACAGTTCGCTTTGCTGTCTGTAAGGCATGTCCCGCCTCATTCCTCTTGTCATCAGTTGGGGCCTGACTCCCGAGACCCCTGGGGTCGCCCAGCCCGGCTCTCTGCCCCGCGCCTCACCCGCACCTGTGGGGAGAGGGGCTTGGCTTGCCCTTAGCTCTGCCCCCACATCTCTGCTGGCGAGGGACTTGCTTCCCGATGGCTTTGGAGGCAAGAGGAGCAGTTGGATGTTTATATGTTGCCACTGCCCCCTTCTCAGAAATGCCTGCGATCTGCAGAGGGAGTTTCCCGCGCTCCGCCCACGTCCGGTGTGAAGTCGCCAGAAGCTGCGGTGTTGGAAGCCACTGGGGGCTTCAGCGGGCGCGTGGGGCGTCGGCCCTGCCTGGGAGGGGGCATGTGCGCGCTGCCTTAGGGAAGTGGGTCCTAAAGTGCCCTTGTTTGGTTTCCAGAGCTAAAGTGATAGGGTGCTGTCTGGCCTCTCACAGCGTGGGGAGGGGCTGAGCAGATTGCTGGGCCCGCTGAGTCCCCGTCCTGACCCTTCGGCGTGTCTCATGCGTCAAGTGAGGGCGCGTCACGCGCTCTGTGCCGTGCAGGCCGTTGGCCAGTTCTGCCAGGGCAGACGCACTGTGGCCTGGGGTTCTGGATGTCTCGGAGCTCGTTAGGGCAGCGTCCAACTCTGGCACCGAGTCCTGGACGCGGCAGAGCTCACAGTTTCTCCTTCTTCACGTCTTTCTGTCTTTCCCGTGACGCCGCGTGTGTGGACGCTCCCCAGTACGGATGTTCACGGCGCTAAGAACACTTTGCCAGCTTGACCTGATGAAAAGTAGACCCACACACTTGCATATATTACCAGTTTTCCCATGTGATGTTATTTGGGTTGATATCTTACTAAACTTTTTGAAAAACTAAATAATTTAGAAAGTTTATCCCATCAAATGCATGAAACAAAGTAATCTTTCCAGGTAAGAGCAGCAATCTTTATTAACTAGACCAGTGGCTCTCAAACTGGAGCATGCCTCAGCGTCTCCTGGAGGGTTCCTAAAACAGACCGCAAGGCCCACCCCTGCGTTTCTGATGCAGTGGGGCTGGGGGTGGGGTGGGGGGGGGGCGGGGCGAATTTGCCTTTCTAGCAAGTTCCCCGGGTAGCGCCAGCGCTGCTGGGTGGGCCACGTTGTGAGAATCACTGACGTGGGTGCCCCGGGAGCAGGGTCTGCAGCCTGCAGTGGGCACAGCTCCAGGGAAGCACTGGGCTGCTTGATGGTCTGGGCACCACGGGCTTCAGTGAGAGTGTGGGTGCGATTCCGAAGAGTCACTGATGGGGCAACTTGTTCTTCCACTTCACCTTGTAAAGAAAAGGAAGTTTGAGGACAAAGTTTGTGTACCTTTCTTAGGAAAAGGTAGCTGGCCAATTAAGTAACAGAATAATTAAATATGGCAGAATCTAATTCACTGGTGATTTGGTTTGATTTTGTCCTTTGTTCTTCAGTGGTTCTGAAGAGAGGAAAACCTGTCCAGAGCTCTGGCAACATTTGTGTGGGGTTCATTGGGATGTTTTTGTCTTGTCCTAGGTGGGAAGTTTGGGGAGTGAGTTCTGTAATACTTGGGGATGAGCCAATTAAGGTTTTGCTTTTAGAGTAGTTTGTTTAGTGAGAGCTCAGTAAGCGCCTGCTGTTTGCCTGGCACTGTGCCTGTGGTGCTGGCGGCCATGCGTCCATCACGTGGACCTTTGGTCCCTGCAGCTGGTGCGCGCGCACGTGTGTGTATGTGTGTGTGTGTGTGTGTGTGTGTGTGTGTCTGTGTCTGGTTGTGCTCAGCCTTCACACCTGTGCTTCACCCTTGCAGCCATGCCCTCAGCTTGTAAATAATAGTGGTCACTGTTGATTTCATAGTAGTTAAAATTCAGAATTACTGATCCTATTATAAACATTTAAAAATAACCCTTCATATTGGTTCTTTTAGCTTTAAAAGAGAAGGTGGCTTTGTTTGAGGTCATCCGTGGTGGCAGTAAGCAATTACAGTAATTTTACGACTGTCTATAAGTTTAGATTATAGGTAATTTGTAAGATATTTTATTAAGTATTTTAAAGGTGTTAAACGGGAGAAAAAAGTAAAAATATATATATATATATAAATCAGTATGTTTTTTGTAAATGTAAAGCCATGAAATATGTTTTAAATTTTGGTTTCTGAGCAGAGAAATACTAGCCTTAGAGTTTATTTTACTAATAAAAAATTATTTTTGCCTAGTTTTAATATAGAAAAATCTACAAAATACAGAATATATTTATGCATTTGATCTTAATAGTGAGCTTTGAGGGTCTCTCTTTTTTTTAATATTTATTTATTTGGTTGCGCTGGGTCTTAGTTGTGGCCGGTGGGCTCCTTAGTTGCGGCATGCATGTGGGATCTAGTTCCCCGACCAGGGATGGAACCCGGGTCCCCTACATTGGGAGCGCAGAGCCTTACCCACTGTGCCACCAGGGAAGTCCCTTGAGGGTCTCTCTCTGACGCGATCACTTAGGGGCAAGGTTTACGGGAGTCGTTGAGGATCCCTTCCTGAAACTCATCTCAGGAGGCTCCTCGGGCTCCCACGCCGAAGTCAGCGGGTGGCATTGGCAGAGCCCCTCTGCTCCTATAGGAGCCAGGTTTTAACAAGTGAAACTGCAGCGACACTGGCTTTATGGGGCTCGAAGATAAACTTTTTGCTGAGAAAGACGCAGAGGAACTTCGCTTTTTTCTGCTGGGTACAATAGAGTAGATCTGGGTTGTACGTGTATCCCAGTGGGTATCCCAGTCTGGGCGAGATAAAGGTCTCCTCTCCGTTAGGGATGGTCCCAGGCCCCCATGGTGACAGAAGCTTTGGAGGGGTGGCTTTGCTGTGCTCTCTGCTCCTGGTTGACTGATGTGCTGACGGTTTGTCCTTGCATGTCCGCCGTCCTGGGTGCAGCATGAAGCGTGCCAGTTCTCTGACTGTCCTTAACGTGAGTGGCACGGCGGCCGCAGACCATTTCCAAGTAAGGAGCCCTGCCCCACTTACACCCTTTACATGTTGGCTGGACCTTCCTCACCACTGCTGCCCTTTGAGCAGAGCCTGTGGACTGCCCCACTTACACCCTTTACATGTTGGCTGGCCTTTCCCCACCGCTGCTACCCTTTCAGCAGAGCCTGTGGGCATTTTAGTGTTCCTGATTCAGGACACATAGACACCATAAATGACACTTTCATAGTCAGCATGAACTTAACCATCTGAATTATGGGAATGTTGTGAACATTCTCAGTGTACGAATTAATGATCTTTACAAATACGTTGATTGACAATTAAAAATTAAATATTCTGATAAAGTAATATCAAAACTTGGCCAGTTGTTAATTTGTATTATTTGTATGATTTTAGCTTCTAGTAGTTTATAACTAATATAATGTCTAGCTAAGCTGTTCAGTGTTTTAAAACTATTCAAAACTTCACTAAGTAGTCACTTTGACAAACAGTCTTTAGCACTTTGTCACCTGTCCAAGTCTCACACAGACCAGTCACCTTTGCGCTTAAAACTGTTGGCATCCTGTTCTCCATTACAAATGGCCCTTTTATTTTCCACGTGTGACTGTTGGGTGTGCCCAGGCCTCTGGCCCCTTCTGTGACCTGGCTGCTGTCCACCAGGACCAGGTGTCCTGGTCACCACACCTGTTGATGCGGCAGCTTTCCCAGTCACCTCAGTCCCACCGGTAACCTATTTGACGCACAGGGACAGTGACAGTGACAGTGACGGGCCGGCAGGAGTGCTGGCCTTCCCCTCACCCCCAGCACGCTGCGGGCGGCGGCTGTTCCCAGGATGCTGTCATCGGGCCTCTAGTTTAAAAGCTGCAGGGTGCTGGGAGGATGCACTCCTGACGATGACGATCGAAGAAACTACTTTTGTTCTTAAAAGGTCTGGAGCTGACACAGTCCTTCTGCTCCCCTTCCTTGTGTTTTGCACACACACATCTGAGCATCAGGACTCTCGTGTGTTGATGTGAGTTGTGCAGTTATTGTTAGTGCCGAGACCACTGGAAGCTGGCGTCATGTGAGGTACTGGTTGAGAATAATTTTTCCATTTGTTTTTTCACGCAGGAACGAAATAATTGTCTGGCAGACTCCAGAGCTCTCAGTGCCAGCCACGCCGACCTGGCCCCCACGGGTCGAGGCAGAGCTAGATTAACCCCCAAGGCTAATGAGCGCTGAGACCCTCAAAGCTTGGCCAGGCCCCTCCCCCCTGCAGGGCGGCCCTGGGGTCGCCTCCTTTCCTGGATGGTGACCTCCACCACTTGCTGGAGGTTTGCCCCGAATTCTGTTAGGCGGTCTGCAGCCCTAGTGCCCGAGAGCTGCCAAAGCCTGGCGGTGGGACCCGGCCAGGTATGGAGCTGGCTCAGCGCACTCGGGGTCGGCTGCTGCTCATGGACACCGGCCCCAGCACCGAAACCTGCTTTCAATTGTAATACTGTGTTAAGGCTGTTCATTAAGACTGGAACCTTAAACTACATCCTTTGAGACTAGGAATCCAGTGACCTGTGGCAGCGATGCTGGGATTAGGGAGCGGGGGAGATGGGGTAGCTGCAGGGAGGCCTGCACCCCCCCCTCCTGGTCTGCATCTCAGCCCCTTTGGAGCCCTTTTCCCTCCTCCAGGCCTCTGTACACTAAGCACACGGAGATGCATGTGTTCCTTTTAAAAAGGTTTTCTTTGTAGCGTTAAGTAACAGGGTGGGTTCTGACAGATGCATTTTATTTTTTAAATTTATTTTTGGCTGCATTGGGTCTTTGTTGCCGTGCACGGGCTTTTCTCTAGTTGTGGCGAGCGGGGGCTACTCTTTGTTGCGGTGTGCAGGCTTCTTATTGCAGGGGCTTCTCTTGTTGCAGAGCACGGGCCCTAGGTGTGCAGGCTTCAGTAGTTGTGGCTCACAGGCTCAGTAGTTGTGGGTCACGGGCTCTAGAGCGCAGGCTCAGTAGTTGTGGGTCACGGGCTCTAGAGCGCAGGCTCAGTAGTTGTGGCGCATGGGCTTAGTTGCTCCGCGGCATGTGGGATCTTCCCGGACCAGGGATTGAACCCGTGCCCCCTGCACTGGCAGGCGGATTCTTAACCACTGCGCCACCAGGGAAGGCCTGACAGATACATTTTCAAACCAACCCTGAGACATTATTCCTTAAGGGAATCCATGAGACTAGCTGGTAGGCTAAGAAGATGTAATTCCAGATGATGCCAACTGTACAAGGGCACATCCCTGCTGAGGAGGTTTGAAAGGATCTGGAAAGCTGTGAGCGTCCTTGTGAAATGTTGTCAGGGTTAAGTTTCTAGTTTACCTTAATGTTATCATATGGGTGGTGTCACTGAGCAAAGGCGCTTCCAGCCACCTTTTCCTCAACAACTGCACTGGGCTGGGGTGCTACGTGCTCCCTGGGCTCCCTGTGGGGACTAGGGGGTGCTCACTCTGGGGTGCCCTTGGACTGCACATGTCCTTCACCCCCACTGTGGACCTCAGACTGAGGACTAGAGGCAGCAGCGTCCCGGGGTTTTGGTATAGCAAGGCTAGACTTTAACTTAAGCTTTGTTTAAAAGTTTCTATAATTCAGTAGTGGATCACCTCAGGGCACCGGTGCTTATGTTGGTGAGAGCTGCTGTGCCCCTCCAGAGGCAGACACCCTGGCCCGGTGTTGGGGGCCCTCGAGGCTGACCGGTCTCCTGCAGCCTGTCTCCTCTGGCCACGCTCCTTTCCTCAGCTCCTGACTCCACTTAGGTTTTGCAGTTTCCGATGGATCAGGAACTTTCAAAATGCTCTCTAGAGGCGTTTAAAAAAATATGATGGGTTGTAAGAAACCACTGGAAAAAAGAGCAGAGCTGTGTCCCCATGTGGGCAGTGTGGCCCTTTCAGGTTCACGTTTAGGTGCAGTGGGGGTGATGTGTCTGTGTCACATCAGAACCAGGAGGGGACCAAGCTGTCCTGGCTCCTCCTCCCACTGCATTGAAGTTTCCTCCCAGCCACAGAGCTGGTACAGGACATCTGAAACCCACTCGGTTTCCCTTAGTGACAGTTGTCTCTGGAAAAACAAAGGGCATTTAGAAAGAATAAACATGGGGCTAAGAACAGAATTTAATTTTAAGCTTCCAGTTGGTGAAAAGAGACCTTCTTTGCAGGGGCCTTAGTTGAACCTTGTCTGGCTTTGAGCCCTCTGGCCCTGGTTCCCCGAGGGTTGTGGTGGCCTTTGTAAGGCCACATGGAGACAGCATTTGGGGTAAGAGAGGCTCGAGGGCCTTCCTGAAGCTGGGTTGTAAAAGCCTTCGTGTCTCAGAGGGGATGCTACCTGGGAGTCGGCAGTGTCTGATTTTTGAACTTGTATCAAAATAGAGAGAAGCCAGGTTGTAACCTACTTGCAGTCTGGTAGTCAGGATTTTAACATTCTCGGAGAGAGCACTGGGGGTGGTCCAGCCCTCCCTCTTCCTTTCCTGGTGAGGGGACCCTAGGGGGCCAGCATCCATTTCTACACTGTGCTGTGTCTATCGAGTTAGACTCCCCTGGCCAGAGGACGGACTGGCAGTGGAGGAGCTGAGGGTCTACGTGAGTGTCTGAGGGCTGAGGTCGTGGCGAGCTGGGCCTCCTGACCCTTGCGCCCCTCCCCAGGCGGAGCAGGCACTTCCGGTGCTGCAGGGATTCAGGTAGTTATTTTCTGAAACTTAAAAAAAGTCCCTATTATTTGTTTGGTCAGGAGGCTGCTAGGAGTATCATGTAATTAGTTATTGTCTTTACAGTAAAGTATAAGTACTGCTAAGAATTCAGAGTTTAGTTTGTAGCACTCATTGTTATAACTTCATAGAATGTTCTGGGGAAGGCATGTTACATCTGTACGAGGCCAACTTTTGGTATGTTTAGACGTCGTACTGTGTAATCATGGGATATCTGGAAACGAAAGCAGCACTGGATAGCAGCAACCGAAGGTGAAGCTCAAGTGAGCTAAGCGAGCATCGTCCTGTACACGCCTCCTCCGTGTAATCGGACTGATGTATAAAGACCTGTGCGGCTTCCACTTAGTTCTCCACTGCGACAGGAGGACTCAGACGGTTTATACAGTGGTGTGGAGCTACCCCTCGGGGGTCACAGGCCTGTGACGGCCGTCCGATTGTCCCTGGGGTGTGCTCTGGGGGATGGGATTGGCTGAGAGGCCAGGGAGAGGTAGGGTGGACACTGCTTTGGGACTTGGTGTTCCTGAGACACAGAGAGAAGACCCCACTGCCAAGTTCTATGGCCCCTGGTGGGTGAGCACCCCCAGGGCGGCCTGTCTGCCTGGTGGGTGGGTGCGGCTGCCCAGAGGCCGAATGTGGGTGCGCTTGTGCTGGTCCGCACCTCTGCAGGGGGTTGGCCATGAAACATACCTTGTCTTGGAGCAGTAGTTTTCTTTTCTCACTGTTGGTGTGACTCGCCTAGGAAATCATTTGGAACTGTTTATATTTACTTACAAAAATAAAGTGTTTTATTTCCTGTTGTAAAGTCCCTGTACTTTTGCGGAAAGGCTCTCTTGTAAAACTCCAACCCTAAAAGAACCCTTTCCTGTTTAACGTTAGGCACCCAATCTTTTTAGGGTCACAGACTACTTTGAAAACATGATGAAAGTTGTAACTGGATCATCCGGTCCTAGAATGACGGGCACAAAGCGTGTGCCCCGTGACAGGGGTTTACCGCCCCGCCCCAGTGAGCCCGTGGGAACTTGGGACCAGTGTCTAGCTCCTGGAGCTGTGGGAGGGTGGCCATGGCGCTGAAAGTGGAGTGACAGGGCTGCCCCAGGCTGTGAGGACAGACGTCACGTGTATGAGTCCTGAGGACAGTGCCTGGCAAAGAGCAAGCGCTGGTGAGGGTCCAGGGGCTGCAAGTGCCTTCCCCGGCACGTCTGTCCGGCCGGGGCTGCTCTGTGCCGGGCAGCAGCGGGGAGGGGGCAGAGGCAGGGCGATGATGGGGGTGAAGGTGGCGCAGCCCTGCTGGAACTGGGCAGTCACGTCCCTTGGTGACCGTGGGGCCTTGTGCTGCCACGACCAGATGCTCAGGTTCTGGAGTTTCTGGCCCGATGCAGCAGGACCCCGGCTGATGGGAGGTCCCGAGTTCTATGCACACAGTGCAGGAGCGCCCTGCCAGAGTGGATGCGCCCCCAGGCCAGGGCTGACGGTCCCGGCCACAGTGGCCAGCCTTGGAGGAGGCACTGAGGGCACAGCGGGATGTGCTCTCCTTTTAGAATAGTTCTCGTCTGCCCAGAACGGATTTCCCGGCAGATGGGCCAAGCCGGCGCCGAGGCTGCTAGCACTCGATGGGGGGCTGGGGGGCTGGGGGGCTGGTGGCAGGGGCAGCGCACAAGGCACATCTCCCCGCCCCGATGCCTCTCCCGGACCCTGCGGCCTGGCCTGCTGTGTGTTCTCCACCCTGTGCCAGACCGGGGCCAGGGGGCGTGCTGGCGGCCAGGAGCCGACAGCCCAACCACGGGGTGAGGAGGGCCAGTGGGCGCTCGTCTGACCTCGGCCCTGCCGTGGCCCGAGGCGTGGGTGTTGGGAGCTTTGGGAAGGGGATGCGGAGCCTGCGGGGGTCAAGGTGGAGGCCCTGTCTGGCCGGGGCGCAGGGGCCTGCATCCGGGCGGGAGCTAACGTGGGCCCAGGGTGGAGGAAGCTGCTGCTTACTATAGAGACGCTGCAGCAGCCGGCGGGGGTGGGGGCAGGCTATGGATTCTGGGCGCTTCCCGCAGCCCCTGGTACCTGAGGGGACCCTAACCAGAGGGAGGGCCACACGTCAGCAGGACTCAGTCCCAGGTGTCCCCCGCACACCCTCGGCGGTGACCGTGTAGGAACAGGACGAAGGCGGCAGGTGGGGGGCGGAGACCACCCTCAGGGTGCGGCGGGGTGGGGCGGAGGCGGCCTCCTCGGGGCGCAGCCGGTCGGCCGTCAGCCTCACCAGGAGCTGGTTGGACCAGGTTATGCCCAGGGCCGGAGACGCCCGCTCTCCCCCGACACTGAGACAGAAAACAGCCCGACTGTCCTGTGCTGTGTGTGGATCTGCGGGCCCCGCCACCCCTGCCCTCGGGGCGCCCCACTCACCCCGGAGGTCCGGTTGCCACACCCCGCTCCTCTGTGGATTCCGTCACCTGGAGGGTTCAGATCGGGGTCAGCGGCGGTGAGGACCCGGCCCCCCCGGCCTCGCCCTCCCCGGGGGTGGAGGGGGGCCCACCTGGTTGATGCACAGCACGGGGCTCCGGAAGGTGCAGCTCAGCCGGCGCAGCTCGGCCCCCAGCGCCTGCAGACGCCGGGCCCTGAGGGCCGAGGCCGCCTGGTCGAACTCACAACGGAACGGGGCTGCCACGGAGTCGATGACCACCAGGCGGGCCATGCCCCGCGACAGGAGCACAGGCACCTTCTTACGCACGCACTCCAGCAGGGTGTCCTGGAAGCCGAGGGGAGGTGGCCGTCACCACCCGCGCGGGAGGCCCCTCCCCTTCAGTGGCCCCGTGCTGGGCACTGACCACCCGGACCACCACGGTCACCAGGACTGCCCAGCCCCACCCAGTGGAGGGAGGAAGCAGGTGTGCGGGGACCTGAGTCTGTCCTGCAACCAGCGTCGCCTCCCACGTGAAGACCCCCGGGCCGCGCCCAGGCTGTGTGCTAGGACGCCAACCGGCTCACTGTGGGGCCTCAGGTGCCTCCGGGCCAGCCCCACCTGCCCCCCAAGACCCTACGCACTGTGCTCGGGGCAGCCCTGTCCCTTGGGGCCGCCTGGCCCTGCCGGCCTGGACTCGGCCCTGGTGCCCAGTGGCCACACACTGGCCATCCCGTCAGGCACTCCTGAGAGCTGTTGGGTGTCTGGGATGAAATTCGACTCTGTGCTTGTTAACTCTCCAGGGTGTCTCCAGCAGAGCCCCTCTCTGTGGAAAATGACAGCAGCAGCAGCGGCCTGGAGGATGCCAGCCTTAACGTGAGTCCTGCACCCCTTCCCGCCACCTCAGGCAGCGCTGGGGCACCGGGGGGCCGGGGGCGGGGGCAGGGCTGCACCCGCCTCCTGCAGCGTCGGGACTCCGAGAGGGGCCTAGCTTGGAGACCCCGTCCCCCGGGAGGAGGCCCGGGACACCGAGGCTCTGTTTGTGCAGCAGCATCAGGCCCTGGTCCGCACCTCCCGCCTCCCCCCGGGCAGGGCCCCCCAGTTGCTGGGCAGACACCAGCGAGGGGCTGGGGGCCTCCTCCACCAGAGCTGCTCCCGGAGCAGAACTTAGGAATGTGCCCCCACCCCCGCCAGGGTCTCACCGCCTGGCCCTGACCCGCTGCTGCGTTTCTCAGTGAGGACGCGCCGGAAGGACGAGGATCGTGCTGCCTGTGTGAGTCCAGAGGGCCCTGTGACAGCCAGGGGACGGTCGCGAGGCTGGAGGGCCTGAAGCCGGAGCCTGTAGCACTGACCTCGTCTTCTCCTGTGTCCACGCCCTGAGCACCGTCACGCTAATAACCGCGCTGCCCGCCGCCAGCGCGCGCTCACCTGCAAAGCCACGGCCGCGCTGGGCCCCTAGGGGACGGCCACCTGCTGCCGGTCCACCCCGGGCCGCCCGTGCCCTGAACCAGCCCGGGCTCGCGTGCCACCGCTCATCGTGTCACTTCCCCGTGCTATGTGTGATCATGTATTTTACGGTAAAATTTTTTAAAATTAAAAGTTTATACAGCTCATCCTTTACTGGAAATTCTTTTTATAGCAGTTCTTAAATGGGGGAAGGGCCTGGGTGGGTGGCTCTGCACACTTGTGTTCGGTGCACTGGTCTGTACTCCATCTCCCATCTCCCTCCTGAAGCTTTTGCTTCGTTATTCAGCCCCAAACAATGACCTCAGCTGGCTGCTCCCCGGCTGCTTGCCTGCCCCCTGCCCCCTCCCCAGGGGCCACTGCCCTCTGTGTTCCCACCGCTGTCTGCCCACGGGGAGGGCACGTGACCCGGGGACGGCTTCCAGGTGTGGTGTCGCCCCAGCGGCCCTGCCAGGCACGCTCAGCAATCTGGGGGGGGGGGGGGGCTCGACAAGGGGGCTTTCCCCTCCTTCAGAGGCAGAGGTACAACCCCACACCACGGCTGCTGCCGGGCCAGTGGCCTGGACGGCAGGTCCCGTCCTCTGGGCCGCGGTCACCTCTGTGGCTGGGTGAACAGCCGCAGGAGGCACTTGCCCTGCTGGGGCCTCCTCTAGCGGGCAGGAGGTGGCGTGTCCGGCGCCCTCCCTTGCCCGCTCTTTCCTTGGGGTTAGGCTGCTAGAAACACACTGGACGCTCAGTTCAGCCTGAGTCCAGGTAACGAGTAGTGCCAGCCTGAGCGGAGCACACGGCCCCCAGCAGGCGACTCGCCGCAGGCGGGCACCGGGGCCTGACCTCGCGGGTCGTGCACGTGGCCCGCCCGCCCGACTTCCCCTCAGACGCTCACCACGTCGGCTGCGTGCTCGATGAAGATCTGGTGGCCAAACTTGATTTTCCTGAGCACGTCCCCTGGGACGTCTGTCCGCAGGCGCTGCTGCTGAGCGATGAGCTGCTGCAGACGCCGGCTGGGGAAGGCGTCCTCTGTGCACACGTAAATGGCCCCTGGGAAGCCGCGGGGCGGTGAGCAGCTGGCCGTGGCCTGAGGCCGCCCCACCAAAGGCCAACGACCCTCTCCTTCCTGCACTGCCTCTCGTGGGTCTGCCCCTCCGACCCAGCTCGGGGGCCGGTCGGCACCCACCTCTCACCGCAGGCCCCTCGCTGCCGGAACTTCACCCTGTGGGTCTGCCTACCCTGGGCTGTCCGAGTGGGAGCGAGGGGAACTGTAGGGGCTCCCGGCTTTCGGAAACGCCCCCTCCTGCAGACACAGGGAGATGCCCCTCCCAGGCCCTGTTGGGCGGATGTTCCCTCAATTCCACTGTCAAGGCTCCTCCTATGGTTCTGGGCTACCTGGTGGTAACTGTCTTTGTTGCGCCTGGAAAAGCCAGTAAACAAAACACAGGCAATGCATCACCAGGGGCCTGGAATCCCCACCAGAAGGTACCCCCGGAGTCCTGTGCTGAAAAGAACCAGGGGCCACCGATTCTCAACAAAGGCCCCAGGACAATTCAGTGGGGAAAGAGTATTTTTAACAAATGGCGCTGGGACAGAGAGACACCCACGTGCAAAAGGATGAAATTAGACCTTTACCTCATACCATATAGGAAAACTAAATCACAATGGATCAAATATGAGAGCCCAAACCATAAAACTCTTAGAAGAAAACACGGGTAAACCTTATGACCTTGGATTAAGCAGTGGATCCTTAGACATGACATCAGAAGCACAAGCAAGAAGCAAATTGGACATCATCAAAGTGAAAAACTGTGCTTTAAAGGACACCAACAAGAGAGGGAGAAGATAACCTAATAGAGAAAATACCGCAAATTGCTTATCTGATGAGTTTAGGGTCCAGATTACACAAAGATCTCCTACAGCTCCACAGGCAAATAACCCAAGCTTTTAAACGGGCAAGAGATTGGAACAGACATTTCTCCAAAAACACACGAATGAGCAGCAACACGTGAAGAGACGGCCAACGTCACCGGCCACCGGGGGTGTGGTCGGCGCCACGGTGAGAAGCCACCCACGCTGGCGTCAGAGGGACAAGCGTCGGCTCAGACGCGGAGGGACTGGAACCCCCTGCGTCGTCGACGGGAAGGAAAACGGCGCGGCCACTGCTGAGAACAGCCTGGCAGTTCCTCAAAGGGCAGAACACGCAGCCACCATGCGACCCAGCAACCCCACTCCTAGGTGTCCACCCGAAGCCACGCACGAACAAGAGCTGTGACAACCCACGTGACTGTCAATGGATGAAAGGGTCGCTAAGTTGTGGTCCGTACACGTGAATGAACATTATTCAGCCCTACAAAGGAATGAAGCACCGACACATGCTCCAGCGTGGGTGAACCCTGAAGACATTACGCTGGGTGAAAGGGCACATTTGCACGATCCCGTTTATTTGAAATGTGCAGAACAGGCGAAGCCATAGAGACAGGAAGCAGATGGGTGGTTGCCGGGGCTGGGGGAGGGGAGAGTGCGGAGTGACTGCTCATAGGGATGGGCCTTCTTTTTGGGGTGATGAAATGTTCTGGAACTAGACAGTAGTGGTGGGTGCACAACTTTGTGAAAATGCTAAAAACCACTGAGTTAAATAAAGAGGAAAGGCCTCAGGGCTCCCCTGGTGGCGCAGTGCTTAGGAATCCGCCTGCCAATGCCGGGGACACAGGTTCGAGCCCTGGCCCGGGAAGATCCCACGTGCCACGGAGCAACTAATTGCCCGTGAGCCACAACTACTGAAGCCCGCACGCCTAGAGCCCGTGCTCAACAAGAAAGGCCACCGCAATGAGAAGCCTGCGCACCTCAACGAAGAGCAGCCCCCGCTCACCACAACTGCAGAAAGCCTGCGTGCAGCAACGAAGACCCAACGCAGCCAAAAATAAATAAATAAATAAATAATAAATAAGAAAGGCCTGTGATCTGGCGGTGCGCTGGCTGAGCCCCACCAGGACTCTCAGGGCCACGGCTAAACCTACCGTTCCTCTCGCTGTACCGGTCACGGCACCGCCCCAGGGAGGGGACCCAGAGAAGAGCCAGAAGCACTGACACCACGTCCGCGTGCCCTATTTGTGAGTGTGTAACTTTCATTTTGACCCGATTCTGTTTCAACAGACTTTCAAGCTTGGAAAAGAGATGCAGGATGGAGGGAGAAGCACCGTCTGACCGTGTCAGTGGTGAGCTCCTGACCCTTGAGGCCTCCCTAACCTTCCCTGGCACGTTCCAGCCCATTCCCAGGGGCAGGGCTGCCTGGGGAGCCCCCGATGTGGCCGAGACCCTCGTCACAACGCCGTGGCCCCCATGTTCTCCGCATCTTGGGAGAGGCCTGGACAGAAGGGTCACAGCCAAACCCAGTCGCACGGCCCTCGAAGCTCCTCGCCCCACACCCTATTGGGCGTCTCACTGGGACAGATGAGTGGGGTGCCCGCCCACAGAGGGGCTTCGAGAAGCTGGCGGCAAGGCGGCCCAGCATTTGAGGGTTGGCGGGGAGGAGCTCCACGTTTTCTGAAGCGCGGAGCCGCTTGGCCATTCTTTTCAAAATTGGGCCTTTCAGACCTGATTTGGGAAGTCACTTTCTCAGGAAAATGTGCCTCAGGCCCCACATTTAATGCGGTCACAGTGGCCGCGGGCCAGGCCTCTGCAGGGGACATGTCGCTCGGAGTCACCCCAGGCTGGCTCTGTCCCCCCTCGGCCAGGCCCCGGGGCTCTGCACTTTCCCTCCCACCGAGGGCCCCCTGGCCCCCCTCCCTCTCCTGAGGCAGGAATCGCAGAGCGGGTGTGAAGACAGAGATGGGAACCCTGGAAAACGGCCCCCAGGGGCAGCCTCTGGCCTCGAGGGCAGGTGCCCGCGAGGTGACAGGTCAGGACCCCTGCCCGCCCCCCGAAGTGGCCGCACTCACCGGCCCCCAGGCCTCCGTGTCGCCGTGGGAGCTGCACGGCCAGGCAGAGCTGCAGCGCCAGCTGGGTCTTCCCGGCGGAGCTGCGTCCGGCCAGCTCGGTGATGCCGTCCAGGGGCAGCCCGCCGCGGAGGAGCCCGTCCAGCACGGGGCAGCCCAGGCTCAGGCGCTCGTGCTGCTCAGGGAACTGCTCCTCCTGCTGGAGCAGGTGGAGCGCTGGGTGCGGGGAAACAACAGGTGAGCCCAGCCCCGCACAGCCGCCCCCGGGCCAGGAGGCCCCTCGGGCTGCAGCGCCGTGGCCTCTGGGCTCAGCCCCGCGCCCCGCTCCTCCAGCCAGACCCCAGGGCACCGGGCACCTGTGCAGACGCTGCTTCCTTGCAGGTGTGAGGAGGCCGCCTTCAGTAAGCGCTGCACGTCGGGGCCGGAGAGGCGGGTCAGTCTCTGCAGGTCTGGTCCAGAAAGATGCAGAACCTCCTTTACTGACCTCAGTTTGGCTGAAGGTATAGAATCAATTACAAGACAAGGTCAGACACAGCAGGGACAACAGGTATCCTCCAGTTCTGGGGACCTGGTGGGCAGGGGCCAGTCCACCTGCTCCCTGAAGTTGCAGGGACCCCCAGATAGAGGGCGACCATGACGGGACGGGAGGGAAGGGGCCTGGGGAGGCCCACGTCTTGGCTGCAGAAGCCGGACGCTTGGGCCTCTCCCTGGTGCCGGGAGCAGCGGCCTCCGCCTGGTCCCATGCCCGCCCGGACACATCTCCCAAGACAGGTCTGTGTGTGCACAGCCTGGGAAGGGCCCGGGCCGAGTCGGGGGAACCATGCACGAGGGAGAAGCCGCAGGAAGGGATCCAAAGGAACATCCACTGAACCAGGCCACGGGATGGCCAGTGCGGTGAACAGACAAAAGAAGAGTCAGCATGCTGGCGGCAGTACCGCGGAGGGCTGGGTTACAGGGTGAACGGCCCAAGGGAGCTGGTGTTTCATGAGGAAAATGAATAATTTTGAGCTTAGATAAGCATATTACTTTCAAACGAGTAGAAAGAAAAAAATACGCTAAATATAGATCCAACCAATCCAGAAGAAAGCATAAAAGAAAAACAACATAAAAAATAAGACAAACAGCGCAGCATAGTAAGGGAGAGTTAAACCTAAATTTATCGGGAATTACCTTAAATACGTATGCACTGAGTGCTTCAGTTAAAACACAAAGACTGAATGAAAGGGGAAAACAAAGCTACTGCTGTGCTCTCAGGATGGAGGAGCAGGGGGCACCCTGCTGCCAGCCCTGCGCTCACTCAGGGCCCCTGTCACCTGCTCACAAGCACCTGATACCGAAGCGTCTCTCACAGACACCCCGGGAGGCAGGGAGAACAGAGGGCGGGTGCGGGGCGCCAGCCGGGCTGGGAGGGGCCAGTGCAGCCTGGGGATGGACGCGCCCAGATGCCAGCAGACTCGGTGGGCTGGCCAACCCTTTGAGCACTTAGAAAAGAGCCACTGCTGCCTGACAGACCTACTGCGACGTGGGAATAATCAGAAGTACGGAGGAGATGCAGTGCATGAAAAAAGGAGGCAACCACTAACTCGGGGGGGAAAACCAGAGACGGTACAAGAAAGGAAACAGTCATAACCCTGGGTTCAGTGGCAGCCATTATGTCCCTAGTCACAACTCTGATGGCTAATGGGACCCAAACTGTGTTCCAACTGTGGGGGGGAGGTTTGGAGGAAGTAGGGGCACACGGGCACCAGCTGCCCTCACCCCCAAAACAGGAGGCCTGTGAGGACTCGTAACACAGACAAATCAAACACAGCAACACAAGCACACTCGTCAACAACCCAGATATAAATACAAAATGTTGCTAGAAGACTCCGAAGTGGTAAGTAGTTCCGTTTCACTTTTCAGACACTGTGTGTGTACTGCTTTGATGAAAATGAAATTAACTTAAAAGCAGTCCTTTCCGTTAAAAACACACACACACAATTGAAAAACCTGCGGCACATTCCAGTATCAGGGCGTTGATCAGGACCAGCTGTCTTGGGATCAGTAACCAGAGGGTCCCCGAGGCTCGGACGGGCAACCTGGTAAACCTGTTCTACATGAGGTGTGTATATCTGTGCGTTCATACTTTCACACAATCACTTTATATAAACATCAGCAAACGCACCTTTCTTAACTGCAGCAATAATTCTAGGATTCAGGTCCAACTGATCCACATCCATTTTTTTCAATGGGGTGACCACAGAGATGGACGAATTCCCAGGGACACGAATTCTGACGCGCTTGTCGTCCCCTCGAGCAGCCCGGGAGCCGAGTGCAGCAGAGTGACGGAGCCTGGGTGCGCGGTTCCCTTTGTGACAGGGCCACACCATCAGCCCGGAGCTTGGAGAGGCTTCACTGCACCAGGGACAGCACTGAGAGACATCCAAGGCAGCGCTTCTGTCCGGGCAATTGTTCGGTAACTCAGAACCTAGGATTCAATCCACACACAGATGCATCTGAAGAGCCAACCCCCACCTCGCATTCTGAAGGTCAGCCCGCTTCATCCCCCGCAGAAAGTGGGAGAAACTGGCTTGTGTCCCAGCCCCACGCCCCCCAGGCCAGGGGCGCCCTGCCCTGACCCACCTCTCTGGGGTGACGGCGGCAGATACAGTCAGAGGCCCGTGCGCACTGGGCTCATCCGAGTGGAGCCGGCTTTGCGTTCTCCGGTGTGAGTTCCCTTAAGTGTGTCTCCACGGCGATCTGGAAAGAGCAGAAAAGGCCACGTGTGGTGGATCTCAGAGGACGCCCAGGAGGTCGGAACCGCTGTGACCACCGAGCTGCCCCAGCAGAGAAGAGCGGACACCGAGTCCGGCCCGGCCTGCAGCCTGCCCTCCCCGCTGGCAGGAGGGGCAGCCAGCGGCGTGTCCACCCAAGACGGCACAGCCGGGGATGCAGCAGGGCAGCAACACTAAGGCCGTGGCCACTCAGCAGAGGCCAGGCTCAGCGTCAAGCAGCAGCAGCAAGGCCCGGGCCTCTGGATGGTGTCAGGTCGCTCCGGAAGCTTAAAGAACCAGGCCGTGTACACCCCCTCATCTGCGGTCTGCTCAGGGAGCCCCTGGAGGCAGCTTCTGGGAGGTGGCAGCACGAGGCTCTGGGGCCCACAGCCCGGGCAGGGGGTCTCCGGGCCAGCAGGCTGCTCCCACGTTCTGCTGGCGTAGGGGCCAGGGGGCTCCCAGGCCAGCTGCTCGGGGCAGGGCTGACAGTAAACACTGCTGAGGCTGAGGGGAGACACCGAGGCCCTCAGGACTGCACATCAGAGCAGAAGGGCGGCCTGAGTGCAGGGCCCCGGTACCAGCTGCAAGGCGGCTGGGGGATGTTGAGTAGCTAGGAGTGCACCCTGAGGCCGTGTGGGAGACGCCCTGGCATCAGACATCTGGACAGAATACCAACCTGGGTTTGTAAATTCTAGAGGAAGTGCGTGTGTTCTTCCCCTGGACATATGGAAAGCCCCCCCCCCCCACCCGGCGTGGGCCCTGAAGCAGGAGCAGCGAGTGGGCTGGGGTCTGGATTCTGAATGACGGGGGGAGGGAGCCTGCGTGGGGACACAGCCGGGAGGTGCCTGTATATAAGGCTCGGATCCTGACGAGCAGCTGGACACGGGGTAGGAAAACCAGCGGGTGACCACCAACCGAAGGGCCTCAAGCTTCCGTGATGGGGGGTAGGGCCCCCAGAAGCAGAGTGCCCACTGGCGGAGCACCCGCTGGGTACCCGACACTGGCCCAGGAGCCGGACCAAGAGCAGGGCCCGGGTGAGCCAGCCACCCTCCAGGCCTGTGCTTCTCCAACCGGGGACAAGCATGTGCCCAGGCAGCACCCAGTAGCAGGCACGGGGTGGGCCTGGCCAGAGCGGGGCAGCTTCCAGGAGCATCTGAGTGCAGGTACCGTTTCAGGGGCACAGCTAACAGCGGGCGCTGCTTGCTGAGCGTGAAGGCGCATCAACTCTTAGGGCCCAGCACAAGACTCTGAGGAAACTCCAGTTATGTCCCCGAGCCTTCCCAGGTGGAATCACTTTCCTGTATCTCTGGGGCTCTGGGGCTCCGAGGGGGCCTGAGGACCCCCCGCCGCCAACACACGCTGGGACAGGAAGGCAGGGCCGCTGCGGCAGATGGGCCCACCTCCACCCTGGGGGCAACACTCAGGTTTCCGGCAGCTTTTGTTGACTCAAACTAAGGACTCAAGGGGAGAATGAGGGAAGATCTTTCAAAACTAATGCACTAAAATAAACGTGTTCAGGGCCTCTCCCGCTCAACCAGACAGCCACCCAAAGGAACCGGAGGGTTGGTCGGGGTGGGAGGACCCAATCCCCACACACTGAAACTGTTAATTCTTTCTCTGGCCAAGTTCGGAGCTAAATTCAGGCAAACTACATACAGCTCCACTGATGTTGCCCTAAAATCACCAAAGGTAATGAAAGGTCGAGGGCTGACTTTTATCAAACACTTAGTCTCTTCCAAGCACGTGACAGGTATGAACTCAAACACCACACGAGCAATATTTTAACCCCTGTTTTGCTGGTGAGAAAACAGAAGCACAGTGTGGTTAAACGACAAGCTTAAGGTCATGCAGCCAGCAAGTGGCTGGCCTGAGATCCAGGTCCAGGCTGTGTGTTCTAAGCCCCGACCCAAATTAGGCCGACCCTGAGTTTACACGGCCCACCTGTTAACAAATCCAAAGGGAATCATTTGGTCTCCATACTCTGCAGAACTCGGTCATCCAGAGGCTGACCCGCCCTGGGGTGTCCAGCCCTGTTGGGAGCAGCCCACCCTCAAGGCTGGGCATCTTTTCTGGCTCCCCCTCCCACAAAGGGCGCCAACGAGCACTCCTTCATCCTGGGCTGCTGGGAGGAAGCTTTCACCTGGGACCTTGGGTGGCCATACAGGTCCTCCCACGGCTGGGCCACCTCTGTGGTTTCTCCAGAACTGGCCAGCCTGGACTTCTGGCCCCCGTCGCTTCTCAGAATCGTCTTCTGCCCTGGGAACCTCTTCTCTCTTCAGCCCCTGAGGCTTTGAGCACTCCCCACTCCCCCAGACCTGGGTGTCCGGCAGACCCCGCCTTGGCCGTCCGATGGACCAGGGAGCCCTGCAGACGCACCCTGCCACCCACGCGCATCTGCTCTTCCCATCGGGCGCTGCATCTCCGAGGTTGTCCACCCCCCACCCTCTCCCGCCCCACCCCACGGCCCCTAGACTGCTGCCACAGCCCAAACTGGCCCTGCAGCTGTGCGGGCTGACGGCCCCAGGACAGGGGCCCTCCGGTCCCAGCCCCGCTAGCCAGCCCGCGCGGCCCCGGCGCCGGGCTCCCTCCCGCCACCGGGACTCGCTCGGACCGTCGCTCGGCTGTGCCTTCTGCCCGCCCGCCCGCGGGTGCGAACCGCGGCTTGGGGCATCGATGACGCGCGACCCCGTCCCCCCAAAGCCCCAGGAGGAGGGCCGCGCGGGCGCCGAGCTGCGCTCTCGGTGCCCAAGGCCACCCCTGCCTCCATCCCGCCCCGGACCACGGCAACCACTCTTCGCACTCACCTAGCCCGCGCTCCACAGGATTCTTCGCGCCGTCCTACCCTTCGCAGCCTACTCTTCCAATGAGCGCCGGGCGCCTCGCGCCGGATACGCCAATCAGAGAGGAAGCGGCGCCCACGTCGCCGACTAATTGGCCAATCCAAAGTCTCAATAGCCCTGAGGGGGCGGAGCGTGATCGGGCCGGCCCTCACTGCCTATTGGTGGCCGACCGCAGGGTGGCAGGGGAGGTACCCATGCGCCAATTGGAGAGCGCAGCGACGGGGCGGACACCTGGCGCCGATTGGTCCGAGCTCCGTGCTTGGGGTGGCTATTGGGCGGAGGCGCTGTCAGTCGCGCTGGCGGGGCGGGGCGGGGCGGGGCTCCCGGGGGGCTCGGGCCCGGTTGCGGGCGGCGGGCTAGCGCTGGGGCGGCGTCATGTCCTCCGAGGTGGCAGCGCGCCGCGACGCCAAGAAGCTGGTGCGCTCCCCCAGCGGCCTGCGTATGGTGCCAGAGCACCGCGCCTTCGGCAGCCCGTTCGGCCTGGAGGAGCCGCAGTGGGTCCCGGACAAGGAGGTAGGTCGGGGACGCCCGTCAGCCCCGGGACCGGATCCGCGCCCCCTGTCCCCTCCCCGTGCCCCCGAGCCTCCCGGCGTCCGCGTCTCGCGTCGGCTCCCCGGGCCCGCCCCGCCTCCCCGACGCCCCTCCGCAGCCCGACCCGCTCTCCGCTCCCCGCGCACCCCGGCCCCGGAACTGCCTCCTCCGGCCCCTCTGTCCTCCCCACCCCCAAACCCGGCCGCCCTCGGGACGCCTGCCCCGCGCCCTAGCGGAGCCCCCGGGCTCCACCCCTCCCGGGCCACGGGTACTCTGCCTGGCCTGGTTCCCTTTCGCGGGGCGCCCAGTCTACCCCGCTCTTAAGAAACTGCCCCCCGAGGTTTCTGTGACCCCTCACAGATCTCCCTTCCTGATACGACCCGGGCTTTGCCCAGCTGCGAGGTCATCTGTGGATTCCGCCACATCCATAGGTCGAGCTGCTGGGCTGGAACCTTTGATTCAGTTGCGACCCCCTCCCGCGAGGGAGGAGAGGAGTCTCGTGTTTGTTTATTTATAATCAGCGCTCTGTGTAGGGGACTCTCGCTGTGTGGATTGCCTGGCGGTGGTGTCTGAGGGAGTCTTGGGGGTGAGTACGCGTGTCCAGGTGGGGCGTCTGGAGGGCGTCCTGCCTGGGGAGCTGCACCTGCGCCCAGAGGTGAGGGGCGGGGTGGGGCGTGAGCTCTCCCGTGGGTGGGGTGGGGGCGGAACCTCTGAAGGCCTTTTTGTGCTGTGCCACAGGGTTTGGACTGGATCCCATAAGCCGGTTATTCTCAGCTATGCTAAGCCAGGCGGAAAAACTTACCGCATTCCTGTAGATCACAGACGTCCCAGAGACATAAAAGTAGCACGATTTATTTATTTATTTTTTTTACGCGGGCCTCTCACTGTTGTGGCCTTTCCCGTAGCGGAGCACAGGCTCCGGACGCGCAGGCTCAGCGGCCATGGCTCACGGGCCCAGCCGCTCCGCGGCATGTGGGATCTTCCCGGACCGGGGCATGAACCCGTGTCCCCTGCATCGGCAGGCGTACTCTCAACCACTGCGCCACCAGGGAAGCCCAGTAGCACGATTTTTGAAAATGCTTTAATTTGCATCTCCTTCCAGCGTTCCGATTGACCACTTTTCCTTCCTCCCCGTAGAATGACGGTTGCAGGCGGCACATTTTTTTGCAGGGGGGGCGAAGTGGGGGGATGCGATCAGGTGTTTTCAGGGCACTGGCGGTGAAGCGCCCAGAGCTCGGAGGGGCGGTTGGGCCAGCCGCGGGGAGGTCTCAGCGCCGTCCTGCCAGGGCTGCCCTTTCCTCCCATCTCCTGGTCATCGAGTCCCTGCAGGCCAGTGCACAGAGGGCGAGATGTTGGCGCGCAGGCGGGTCACTGAGCTGGCCCAGGCCACGTCCTCCCTTCCTCTTGGGTTTCTGGTCGCCCTGCCTGTGCTCTTTCTCTTCTGCATTTTTCTTCCTGGCGTTTGCAGTCTTTGAAATCACAGAACGTACCTTTTCTCGTGTGGTCTCCTTGGTTAGTGCTGTTAAAAGGTGATTAAAGAGAAAAAAGGTAACATCACGACTCTCGTTCTCCTAAGTGAATGCATGTTCCGGAGCTCTTTTAACTGCATCAGTGAGGGAGCCGGGCAGGTGTTATCAAGGTTCGAAGAGAAGTCAGAACCGCACAGCCTGACCTGGAAGGAGGCAGGTGAGGGCAGGAGCTAGAGGCGAGTTGGTCTATTCCATGCCGGGGTAGGGGAGCCGGGACAGGGACATACTGTGTCCGCAGCATCTCCACTTCACTGAGTGGGCACCAAGCGTGTCCTTGAGGCCAGGTCAGAGTGTCAGTCTTTTTCCACTTTTGTCCTCCGAGGACCCTCTTTAGACATTTTTTCCCCTGATTGATCCCCCATGAAATGCTCACAGCAGGGATATGTCCACCTCCTTAGGGACCGTATGTGCGGGAGAACACCCCTCTGGACGATGTGCAGTTTTCCCCTGCAGCCCGCGAGCTGCTCTTCAGTTAACCTCTGGGTCCCCCCTGCCAGCCCTCTTCAGGGCCCCTTGCTCTTTGCTGGAATGATTGTTTCGCAGGTTGTACTGCATGTGTTGTCTTTCTTTGTGGGTCTGGTGTTGAGGTGCGTCTGGGGCCCTGCCCGCCTGTCTGGGGGCTCTCGGGAAAGCGATCAGTGTGGGTGGGAGTGCTGGGGTCAGCGTGGCACTCCTTCCTGTAACAGAAGTTTCGTTCTTGTGTTAGAAGGATGGCGGGTTGCCTTCCAGAAACACGCCCCCAGTTTGCCATCTGAGCAGCCAAAGAAGGCCCTAGAGGCGGAGGGAGCTCAGAGCGGGGAGGAAGTGCCAAGTGACCGTGGACAGTTTCTTCTCTGACTTTGAGGAAGTGCGTGTTGAAATGTACTGGGGAATGTCCTAGAGTCCAGAAGTGACCAAAGGAAGTGTCGGGAGGAAAAGAAACTTGGAGTGGGGCAGTTTGGGCTGGGAGCATCGGGACGAAGTCTGGCCTTGGTTGCGGGGGCTTCGCCCTGCTGCTCGCTCGGCTTGGTGGCACTCGGCCTGCCCAGTGCTTCTGGGACCCACGACCCTGGTGTGTGGGGAGGGAACTCAAGCGTGGATCTACCAGTGCTGAGAAGTAGGTTTACTTGTGGTTTGGGACGGGCGGTGGCGGGGCATAGGTGGAGCATGGCAGGGGGCGATATGCTGTCCTCAGCTTCACCCGCCCCCGCACTCAGCTGTGGGTGGATGAGTGTCACCGTTGTGTGCAGCCGTCCTGTGTTCTTCGTCCCGGCTGTCTTCTGCTGGGTCCATCAGCGGCAAACCTGTTGCCCATCTATCAACTCTTTTTTTTTTCTTTTAAGTTTATTTACATGTGGTTTTCTCATTGTGTTGCCATTATCAAAGTGGGATTCATTTTTAAAAAATAATTAATTAATTTTTGGCTGCATTGGGTCTTCGTTGTGGTGCGCGGACTCTAGGCGTGTGGGCTCAGTAGTTGTGGCTCGTGGGCTCAGTAGTTGTGGCTCGTGGGCTCAGTGGTTGTGACTCGCGGGCTCTAGAGTGCAGGCTCAGTAGTTGTGGCACATGGGCTTAGCTGCTCCACAGCATGTGGGATCTTCCTGGACCAGGGCTCAAACCCGTGTCCCCTGCACTGGCAGGCAGGTTCTTAATCACTGCACCACCAGGGAAGCCCTGTCAACTCTTTACTCAGTGCCTGACCCTGTGCCAGCTTGGTAGCTGCGGCCCACAGGGGCATCCCTTACAGATGTTGGAAAACGTGGGGATGTGGGTATGTCTGTAGCTCTCAGCTTCTCAGAGGGGTTCCTGCCCCAGAAATAACTGAGACTCGCTTTCCTGGTGTCTTTGTGCCCCTGGGAGCTTGTGAGGTGGGGAGGCAGTGGCGGGACAGGGAGGGCCTGGGAATAGCTTGGGCCTCGTGTTGCTGCCGTCCGAGTGTCCCATGACCAGGAGAGTGGCCTTAAGGGTGGGCTGTCTGGGCACACAGCCATAAGGACTTGCTACAAGTAGCCCCAAATACTGAATTTTATCGTTAGAATCCATGCAGTTTTGCATCCCTTTTCTTCCTGTCCTGGGTGCTGGGTATAGCCAGTGATGACGATGGCTCTGCACTGTCACTGACGTCAGATGCTCTGCAGATGCAGAACTGGGGAGGAGAGAGCACAAGTGTGTCAAACAAAAACAAGGTGAGGAGAGATTTGTGTCCCACAGGGTCACTGTGGGGGGAGGTCCGGCCCAGGGCCCTGTGAGCTCTCCAAAGGCAGGTGGCAGGGGCTTGCTCCATAGGAGGGGCAGCCCAGGCTAGGAGAGAGTGGGGTGGGAGGGGCAGGTGGTGTGATCTGACAGCGGATCAGGGGGTGCAGCACCCCAGGACAGCCTGTCTCCGGCTACGGGGTGGGTCAGAGTTCAAGGCCCTGAAGGAAGGCGAGATTAACGAAGGTTTTATCAAGTCCAGTTCGTGGGCGCTTTGTTCCGGTGGATGTGTCAGCCAGTCCCATCTGCAGTCCACGTGTGGCTTGTGGTGGGTGGACAGGGGTGTCTGTTAGTCTTCTCTAGGGCAAGAGGGGAGGGGGCCCTTTGCAGGATGCGTTCCCAGAGCACTGTGGGCGGTGTCCCCGGTCTCTGGTCTCGTGGCCTCCGGGACCCCAGGCGGGTCCCCGTGGTCAGGAGCCAGGAGAGCTGCCCACGGCTGCTTGGGCCGGCGGGGCGCTGCTGCCAGTGTTGGGAGAAGGCGGGTTCCTGGCTGTCCTGCGGGACATGGGCAGTGGCAGCCTCTCCTTCCTGGGATGTGGTGTCTGCACCTGCTGCTCCCTGTTTGATGGCTCTGGGCTTTGTCCTTGGAGGTGTTCTGTCCCTGCCGCTCCTTCCCTCAGGCGCCCCCCCCCCCCCCCCCCCCCCCCCCCCCCCCCCCCGCCCGAAAGCATCTGTTGTCAAATTCGTCTCGTTCCCGGGGCTGCTGTGTGTCTGCTCTTCATCCCTTGAGCTGGTTTCTAACATCTTATTGGTTCCCTCA